TACAGGGATTTAAAATCAGAAAATGTATTGGTATGGCAAATGCCATTGCCATTTCAAGATTATCCAGAGCATCCAGTACATGTAAAAGTAGCTGATTATGGTATATCCAGATTGACATTACCTACAGGAGCTAAAGGATTTGGAGGAACAGAAGGTTTCATGGCTCCTGAGATTATAAAATATAATGGTGAAGAAGAGTACACTGAAAAAGTGGACTCATTTTCATTTGGCATGTTTATATATGAATTGATAACTTTAAGACAACCATTTGAAGGACATGAAGCAGTTAAAGAATGCATTTTAGAAGGTGGAAGACCACCATTAACATACAGAGAAACATTTCATCCATGTTATGCTCTTGATTTAATGGTTATTTGTTGGGCTCAAAATCCAAAAGATCGACCAACAGCTAGTCAAATAGTATCCATTGCATCAGCACCAGAATTTACTCATTTAATAGATGTTATATTATTGACAGAAAGAACACAAGTGACAGCTGTTACTATGACAAATACTATTGCTGAAGAAAATTTAAATGGAGATGAAATTTGGTTTGGTTATAATAATGGTGAAGTTGATATGTTAATAGGAACACAAAAGGGATGGTTAAGACATATAAGAATTGAAACACCAGTAATACCATACGCCATGTGTGGAGTAGATGGTTATATATGGATTGGTGATAATACTGGACAAATACATGTATATTTAGAAAACAATTTTGGTTGTGTAGCTAGTTATCATCTTGAACCGGATCATCATAAAGAATCAAAAGTAGTAGGTTTGATATATTTAGAGCCATTGAAACAATTTGCTATAGCATTACATAGCGGTAAAACATTTCTTTTGACCAATTCATTTACGCAAATGAAAAAAACCGAAATTAGTAATGATATAAGTGATAATATCAAATCATATTCTATAGCAGCGGTATATAAGAAAAAACGTATATTAGAATTATGGATGGGTCAAAGTTTTGGTAGAATAACCATTTATATATTAAAGGATACCAATTTAATTGATACAATTGAAATTTCTCATGTAACTGGTGATACAGCTATGAAAAATTTATTTGCCACATATCTTTTAAGCGCTGAACATTCTATTTTATCATACACTTATCCTGGTTGTATTGTTTATCAATGGGACGTTGATACTAGACAAATAATCAATAAATTAGATATGTCGAAATTAGTTCCATGTTCAGAAAGTTTTAAATCTATATCTATAGAAGAAAATCTTACTACGGAAAAATGTCAAATAACTGCTCTTGAATCATATATGAATCAACTTTACATTGGTACTACTTGGGGTTGTATTGTTGTTGCTGAATGTAATACATTGAGACCAATAACTGTTTTCAGACCATTCGAAGGCAAAGTGTGTCAAATAATTTCATTTAAATCAACTGATAAGAAAAAGCTTATATTAGTAACAGTTGGTCAGGGATATAGAAGTTTAATATCACGTTTCACTGATTTTCCTTTAAATGGTACAGAAGTTGAAGATCTTAAACATAATATGTATACACTTTTATGGAGATCTGAACATTGGTCTGCAGCTTGATTATTTCTTCACAAATATTATATCATTTTTTTTATTTATTTATTGATAAGTCAAATGTGATGATTATATATATAGTTACTTAAAAATATTTACAATATAATATTGTAATACAATTTGTCCATTTTATATATTGTATCCTTATAATAATAATAATTAAGGAGCTTTGTGCAGCAGCTTGCCTCGTTCGCGTAAGAAACTCCCTTTAAACAAATAATATTTGGGAGGTCCATGCTTAAATATGTACAAATTTTAAGGTGCTTGATTGATAGAAGTAATTTTTAAAATATTAAAAAAAGAAAAAAAAAAAGAAATAGAAAAATCATTTGTATTATTCACGTATAATATTTGCCAAACAATTTTCTATATATTTATTCATAAACTCTTAGATGAAAAATCTACAGCACTGTAATATAATTGAAAAAAAAAGCAAAAAAAAAAAACAAAAAAAGGAATGAATTGTTAAAAATAATTTAATAATTTAATAATTAAAATATACAATATACATTTCTTAATGTATTTAAATATTATATATTAAACTAATGATCTCTAAAAGTATAGAAATTACTAAAAATAATTCACATTGTCCAAAATAGTTAAATCACATTAAATATGCTTCGATAAATATCACATTATAATCTAATACATATTAGAAACATATTCCTTCCAAACCTAATATAGCAGGGTTACAAATTGAATATTTTTGTAGAATAATGGTAATATTTTTAATTATTTATGTATGTGTAAAACAATAGATAAAGTATATACTCATTTAAACTCATTGAATTTATATTAATTTAATCTGTCTTCTTCTTCTTCTTCTTCTTCTTCTTCTTCTTCTTCTTCTTCTTCTTCTTCTTCTTAGGTGGGAATTTAAAACTTCACCATTTTTCTACAAAAATTCTCTATAATAAACATTTAGGTTGTACACCAATGCAATATATTTATGTACTTTGACCTCAGTCTGTTAACCCTTTGCACTCGAGGCCTTTTTTTTCGCTTGTATGAATTGACCAGGGAATTACCTTAAATCATTCGGGCGTTGCAACAGCGCTGCTCGAGAGTTCACACTTGAAATCGGCCGGGCGCCGTATCGGCGCCGTTCGACTGCAAAGGATTATCCACTTAAAAATGAAAATTCTAATTAAACACAAAATCTGCGTATGAAAGTTAATCTTAATATAGTAAGAAAATGTAATAAATACATTTCGTAGAGATTAATAATTGATCATAATGTATGTAAAATCCAACAACAACAACAACAAAATCCATGAGAATTATGAAGTACAGTCTAACATTTGAAACTGGCAGCTCTTCCAATTGATATTTAATGCTCTGGAAATGACTGATTCTAATCTTTATATAAATAATACTTCAAAGAATTCTCTTGATATCATATATTAGAACTAATAAACATCATTCATCCGGCCATGTATGTATCATTACAAATACTATTATCATATTTCAAATGATATCAATTTATTTGCATTTTTATCAAACTAATATCTAATTTATTTCTATTATAATTCTTTACTCGTTAAATGTATAAGTTGTATTTTTATAAATAATAAATCCAAAATTGTAATGCGTGCACTCTTAATAATAGAGCTATTAAGAAAGTGATATAATAATACTAGGGGTGCCCTGTCACACGTTACTGTGGCTCACGATCAGTCCGATACACACGTTTTTAAGTTAACGAATTACCTTAATCATGACTCTTTGGTAATAAACAAATAATATTGCGATTATAAATTGAGATATAAACTATCCTATCTTTTAAGTTGGATGATACTGCACATAGTGTGGAAAATTTGATTAAAATCGGTTCAGTAGTTTAGGAATTCATTGCGGACAAACAACGTGACACGTAATTTATATATATATATATTAAGAAGAAGATTGTTATAAATTATTGATAAACACGTAAAAATGTTGAAAATCATCAGCCTCGTTATAACGTAATGCAACATTGTAAATATTTTTGTAGTATTATAATATGGCTTTCAATATATATATATTGTATTACTATTGGTAGTACATATTTTATATAATTAGAATTAGTACAATAAGTATTGTAAATGAAAGTAGTCTTAAAGTATTTTAGGAATATTATTTATTTAGTAATATTATATCACTTAACCAGCTAGCTATTTATCTATATCTATATGCATTTATTGTAATTATTTTAAAAGTTTTTGGTTGTTTTTGGTAGTAGTAGATATAAAAATTGTTTATTAACACAAGTTATAAATAATCTAAACTATTCTACCTTAGTAAGTAATATAAACATTACTTAGTTTTCGTGTTAAATAACACAAATGGAATAAATGGTTGATTATTTAATTAATAGAAAATTCTTGGACCCCTGTGTATATTAATAATCAAAAGTTTAGTATGTATATATATATAAAGTATATCTTAAGACATTTTCTGTATCATTAGATTATATATAAAGAAATTTTTTACATCAAGTTATACAGGGTGAGTAATAATAGAATTATATGTCTATATATATATATATATCTTTTTGAATATGAATAAAAGAAATGATAAAGAATATAGTTGAAGATTATAATAATGTATTTAAAGAGTGGAAATTGCAGATTTGTTTCAAATGAAATTACATTTAAATGAAAAAAAAAAAAAAAAAAATCAATTCATTCATAAAACAATAAACATTTTTCTACCCATCAACTGAATCATGTAAAACTTTCTTTTTATTTTTTTTCATCTAAAAATGAAATATAATTGTCTTTATTTTGTAATTATTTTATCTTAATTAAAAAAAAGAGACTTTAATATTAAATTTAAATAAGACATTGTGTAGATTTAATAATTTTGTTAAATCTGACATTTTATGGAGTATTGATAAAATGCAAAATGTAATTAAAAGATTATATATATATGTATATCTGTTATCTTACAATATATTGACTTTAAAAGTACAAAATTTTCAAAATAAAATCAATTGTTAACATTAAATATTAATTTTTATATAATATTTATGACAAATATTGTATTTACATATATTTATATATTAGTTTTAACAAATAACAAAAATCCTGGAAAATTTGATAAAATTCCTTTAAAAATAACAAATCAAATGAGAAAGTAGTAATTGTTTTCTAAAAACAATTCATCGTTCAAAAGTGAATAAATTAAAATCATGTAAATATTAAAAATTTGTATTCAAACAAATATATTAATACTTAAATTTAATATAAAACATAATAATTTGTTTCTTCATGGCTGCTACATACATCATTCTTAAATCATTGCACAATATACTTTCATTCAAAGTTTTTTTTAAATATATTAAAAGCTATGAATATTTATAGAAATATATATATATATATACAATATTAATTAAAAAAGAATAATTGTAAATTTGTACAAATTGGACATTTAAAAAGATTAAGTGTCTATATAATTATTATGAAATAATAATTATTGGTATTAAAATGATTATCAAAAATTGACATACAATTTTATCTATGTTGGACCTTGAAATATTAGTTGTTCACATATTTACATAAAAACATGCGTTTATACAAGTTACATTTATACAAACTTACAAAAATAATTTATTGCACACTTGTTGTTAAATAATCTTTATAAAAATGAAATCTAATTGAATAATATATTTCTAACTAATCAACTCGTGCAATAACTTGAGAATGAATTGATGAGTTCTTTTCATAAATATAAACTTGTGTTAGTATTGCAATGTCTATTAAAATTTGAAGTGCACCACATACTTTAAATTGAACTGGAGCATCTCGTAATATAAAATAACAAGTCTTAAAAATATCACCCATTGTCCACATACTAACCATCGTTATACTACAATGACAAAAGTAAATTATAAACGATTGTGTATATTTAACAAATATATATATATATATATATATCTATGATTTCGCTTACCTCATTCCACTCGTAGATTTGTTATAAAAATTACGTAAAAATTGTGGTATTCCAAGCATTGCTTCTATTAATACTGCAAGAAAACCAACAATTTCAACAAATATTGGTACGTCTATAAACCAATACATTAATATTCCACCCATAATAGCAAATAATAGCATAAAATCCAAATAAGATTGAAAATCTGTCCATTTCCAAAAGAATCTTGTCTCCAAATCTATAATTCAAATGAATTATTCAAGAATTTATTCAAGATTTCATTCAAAGTTTGGGTTTCTTTTTTTTCATTTCTGTCATTAAAATTAACTCTACAAAAATGATAATACCTGTAAATACTCGTTCTTTTAATTTAATTATTTGACTTTTGTTATGTACATTGACAGAAAGTTTGATCATAGTAAACATTGTAATGATCATTATAATACTTTGAATTAAAAGAGGTGTCTCATAATGTTTACCAAACCTGCAAGAAGACATGACAGATTATTAAATTAATCAAAAAATACAAAAGAAAAAGAAATAACATTTATAATAATAAAAAAATAAAAAATAAACTAACTAACCAAAATAAAATACGAAGTGTGTTTGCAATTAATAATGTCAAACAAACATATAAAGAAAATCCTTCAGCATCTCTTTTCCTTTTAATTTCTCTATATTGTGGTATATATGGAATAATACCACCAAATATTATTGTTAAGGATGCAACATAACTAGTTACATCTTTGACAGTCAATTGTTCGTAATTGTCATTCATTCTTCAAATAATTTTAATTTATAACCATGATATATAAATACTTGAACATCCACTTATTAAAACATAACTAGTCATTAATCTGACGTACTCCTTACGTGATGATAAATCACGATGATTCAACACGTGTGTGCAAACATTATAAATATATACAATACAAATATTTCATATTTTCAATATTTCACATAATTATTATTATTTTTAAATATTATATAGATTTTATTATTATTTTTTAGATATCAAATAAATTATGTATACAATATATATATAAATATACTTATGAATATATATATATATATATTCATAAACATTTTTAAATATAGTTCTTTTGTCCATAGTCTTTACGCATGTTTTCTGCGCATCTTTAAGCAGAGTGCATATATATAGGTATATTTATATATATATATATACAGTGAAGCCAGATCGTAGAACATTTCTACCCCTTCCCTCGAGCCCAGCACGCCTCGCACACAACGAAATGTTACGTGTCGGTGTGTCGGGAAACCGAAAGAAGCCGAGGGAAGCCGAGNACGAAATGTTACGTGTCGGTGTGTCGGGAAACCGAAAGAAGCCGAGGGAAGCCGAGATTAGCTGTGCGACAGAGGAGAAATAATACCCCCACCACATTGTTTTATACATTGTCCAAATGTGTATTGTGTCCATGTATTTTTGCGTGGCGCGTGGTGGGGGTATTATTTCTCCTCTGTCGCACAGCTAATCTCGGCTTCCCTCGGCTTCTTTCGGTTTCCCGACACACCGACACGTAACATTTCGTTGTGTGCGAGGCGTGCTGGGCTCGAGGGAAGGGGTAAAAATGTTCTACGATCTGGCTTCACTATATATATATATATATATATATATGTATATACGTGTTTATGTGCATATGTGTTATATACTTATCATTAACACGACATTATTTGTGAAGCTAAAAGAGAATTATATTTATAATTCTAATATCATTTTGTGAAATAATATAATAATATTCATTAAACAGTTTTAATATTTAAAATTGCAGTTTGTGTTGGATCAAGAATATTAAGTTAATACAAAATAATACAAAACGGATATACTGTTTTTAATATAATCAATATAAACAGGTTAAACACACTGCACATAGTAACATTCATTTTTGTCCAAGCCTGATTTTTCATTCGAAGTTTATATATTATGATGAAAATTGTAATACAAATATTAACTGGATATTTATAACCAACTATTATTGTGTGTGAGTTTTTGACAAAGATTATTTTATAGTTTACAAAATAAAAATATGATTTTTTATTTTAATAAATAATTACAAAGTGAAACGTTTTTTCATTTATAGCTTTATGCAAATGTTTTGTAAAAGGTAGAAACAATTTTTGTTGTATTATTTGTGAACTATTATCAAATTTCTACTGCTCAATGATGGAAACTAACCTAACAGAAGAACAAAAAAGATTTCTAGAAGAATGTGAAATTGAATTTAAGGATCGTTTTTCTGAAAATGATGTTGAATTTATGAAAATTAAAAGTGCAACACCAAAAAAACCACCAATTATAGATCCATGGTACACTAAACCACGTAGACTGCCATACTGGGATCAACAAAATCAACAAAATCAGGGACATGGAAGTCGAAATCATAACTGGGACCGTAGTAGTCTTGAAAGAGGTGATAGATTCAGTCGTCATGGTGGAAAACATTATATACACAATCATAATAAAAATCCATATTAAAAATCAGTGTATTATATCTCTATACTTTCTTATCATATATTTTGTATATACATGAATTATATCATAGATTATAAATCAAATATATAATTTTTACTAAAATCTCTGTAATAAAAGAACAATAATACTGCATTAAAATCAATAGAGAGAGAGAGAGAAAGAGAGAGAGAGAGAGAGAAAAAATATATAAGTTTTTCTTTGATACTTAGAAGGTGAATTATCGTCTGAATTATTTACTTTTTTCAAATCATATTATAACGATAACAAATTGTAGATTCATGGTACAATAAACGAAGCAAACATCCATATTACCGGAATCAACAAAGTTCGAGAAATGGAAGCTGAAATCATTATTTGGACCGTAGAAGTTTTGAAACAGGTGACAGATTATTAAATCGTAATGATGGAAAACATTATTCACATTATCATAATATAAAACCATATTAAAATCACTATATTACATCTTTTACTTTTCATCATATTATATTTTGTACATATATATATATATACATATATATATATTATAAATCAAATATAATTGTTACTAATGTCTGTAATAAGAAAAATATTACATTAAAATCACAATAGAGAAATATATCAATTTATATTCCTCATGTTTATAAAAGTGAATTATTAACTGTTCATTTTTTTTTTTTTTTTTTCATACATTTGCAAATGCTTGAAACATTAACAATGAACAATTTTCTACAATTTTCACCAACAGTTTTTCATTAGCATGAACAAATAAAATAGTTCCTCTTTGTATAATTTGTGATGAACGAATTTTTCCTTTACCATTTATGACAATAATTATACTAGCTGATTTTCTTGGAATCAATTCATATTCCATTTTATCACATGGTATCTGAAAATAAATTTCATAATGATAACATATATTTCATTAGTAATATGATGTAATATTTAATAAGAAATTTACTAAAATTTTGGCTACTGCAAAATCTGGCACTGGAGGTTGAAATATTTCTGTACAATTATCTTCACAATAACCAGGAAACTTCTTTGCAAAATCTGGCTCACATTTATATGTTAACATTTCTGTTAATGTTTTTACATCTTTCAACTTTGGTGTTAATCCAGCACGTACTATATTATCAGAACATGCCATACATTCTATACAATCTTGAAATAAAAAATATTTTAATAGATTTGTTGAGATATTTGTTTATATATACATGTATTATTAATACATACCACCATATATATAAGCGTGTGGTTCATTTGGAGCAATATATACAGCCTCGCCTGGTTGTAAAGTAATATAATTAAACATATATATACCAAAACATCCAATATCCCCAGGAAAATATGAATCAAGTTTTCGCAACAAATCAGCATTCAATAATTGTTGAGATGATATATCTATAAATATTAAAAACAATCAATAAAACTCATGAGACCAATGTAATAATTACAAATGTACTTTGAATATTGAAATTTACCTAAATGTGACAATCGTTCTAATAAATGTTTAAGTTGTTCTATTACTAAATTATGCTCACACATCATAAGACTACGAAAACATTTTTTTAAAGGTTCTCTATATTCTGAATCATTTGTTATCATAAATTCATGAACTAAATCATCACCAATTAATGCTCGTAATTCAGGAAGTAATTCTAAATATTTTTTTATTTCTTCAATTGGACGAAAACCACAAAGTGTTTCAAATTCTGTTAAAGCTATCATTAATTCTGGCTTGTGATTAGAATCTTTATAAATTGTAGGATCAAATAAATGTAATTCTTCTGCTTTTTTCTGTAATTTAATAATATGTTAGAATTAAACAAATCATTTAGAAATATAAAATAGAAGTAGATTTACCTTATCCGGATGTACTTGAATAGACAATGCTTTTCTTACGGATAAAACTTTAAAAAGAAATGGTAAAGATGATTGAAATATTTGTTCTACTTCAGAACCCAATACATTTGTATTTTCTTCTATATATTTTTCTAAAGAAATGTTTTTTTCCATTAAATATGAAGGACCATTAACATGTGTACCCATCCATAGCTCTGCGTATGGTTTTTCTTCGTTTATTACAAAATTAGGGTTTGATGTTTTAATTAATGATGCAACAATACTGTCTCTACCATATTTACCCCAATCATAATTTTGTACTGCACATATTAGTTCCATTTTTTGCCATATATCTGTAAATTATATACAGTAATTAATTATACAGTGAGAAGTCAATTAGCTATCAGTATTTTTATTTTTATTTCATCATTAGATATAAGACATTTATATATTTAAGATATAAAATTTATCATTTTTAATAACTTTTGCAGACTTACCAAAAAAAGATTTAAAAAGTTATTTATTATACAATTCAGTCATCGAGTTAAATGAAATACAATAAGTATTATTAATATAATAAATATATTTGTAATGCCAATTCTATTATTGGAATCAACACATTTTATCGTTAATCTTTATCGATTAATTCGTATTGGTGTTTATTTTTTTACATATGCATTTATGATACGTGGACAACAGTCACATATGACATTCGATGCAACTAGATGGCGTTTTCAAAATAGAAAATTGTCAACCTAATTCATTATACTGCAATTGTTATTAACATTACTTCGTAGAATTAATCTAAAATGCATATTTAAAAATTGCATTAAAATTTAAGAACGACATTGTATAACTGACGAGGGTTTATTTAAAAAAATATTCACAAAGTGACATCTTATAGGTTATGGACATTGCATAAATATGAAACAAGTCGTAGATACCAAAACTAATTCTGGAACAACAGGAGAAGCTGATGAGTGTTTGTTTGAATATCTGCATGCTGAAATAGTTAATTACGTTTTAAGTGTATCATTAAATACAAAGGTAATGCATTAAGTTTGATAATATACAATGTTGAATAAAGTTAGGTTATGAATTGTTCGGAAAGTGATTTAAATGATATACTTTTTCTAATAGGAAGGTAAGGAGGATCTATCTCGACTGGAATGGATGGGATTTAGTGTTGGATATAAAATCATTGAACGATTAACAAGAGAATGGAGTCGTTTCAAAGATGAATTAGATATGATTAAATTTATATGTACAGATTTTTGGTGTAGCTTATATCATAAGCAAATTGATAATCTCAGAACAAATCATCATGGAGTATATGTATTACAAGACAATGCATTTCGTTTATTAGATAAAGTTGGTACTAGTAATAATAAACAATATCTTCCAGAAAGTCCACGCTTATTAGCATTTACCTGTGGTTTGTTGCGAGGTAGTTTAGCAAATCTTGGTATTGTAAGCACTGTTACAGCAGAAACATCTGCTTTACCAAGTTGCAAATTTCATGTTCAAGTACAAAGAGTTTAATATATACAGCTAGACATTAATATGCATTTTATATAATGATTTATCACTGTATTAACATCCAATTTACACAATATATAATATCTATAGTAATGAATAATGAGTATTATAATTAACATGAAGAGCATGTCAATTATATCATCCCATATTTCCAATAAACTGTAAATGATGTAAAGAATGAAAATTTAACATATACAAGAATTAAATTAAAAATATATAATAATTATGTAACATTATAATTTATTGTCACTTATAAATATTTGAACTTTTGCACCTTTATAAAAATAACAGAATAATTAGTAGTTTGTAAACATTGATGTAAATCTGATTTTTAATTCTTATTCCACTATAATATTATTTAACATGATTTACATATGTTTACAATTCTTTGTCGTTTTATGATTTTTTTACAATATATATGTATATAAAATTATAAAAATAACGATAAATGCACAATTATGTGGATCCATTAGTGATATTGTCTTTGTTAGAAATAAAATTAACAATGTCTGAATGATTTACAATTCCAACTAAAACATCACTGTTCACATGATCTACAACAACTGCATAAGATTCATTTTCAAGAATTAATGATAGTTTTATGAGTGTTATTGTAGATATAACTTTTACGAATTGTTTTATAATAATATTTTCTATACAATCTGTCTGTTCAATTTCATCACATACTAATTTATTCATTAGTAATTGCATTGTAAGAACACCTTTAACTTTTTCTTCATCGTCAATAATTACAACTACATTTGAATTTGTGGTTTTAAGAATACGAATGGCTTCTTCGCATGTTGCTGTTTTGTATAATACAGGAGGTTTAGTTATGGATAAAATTGAAACTGGATAGTTGGACCACCATTTATTTGATTGATCTGATGGTATGTCCTGCAATATAAAATAAATTTCATTTAAATTGAATCAATTTCAAGATACAATCTATAATTCAATAACATAATATTGATAATAAGTATTACCAAGAAGTCTCTAATTTTCATCCAATTGTCAGATACAAACTTAGTCATATAATTTCGTATTCCGTCAGGTAGCACAACAACAACACGTTTATTTGCAGGAATATCTTTTGCAATTTTTAAACATACAGATAGAGCAGCACCACTACTACCTCCACATAATAATCCTTCCTGTTTAATAAGCATACGTGCTGCATTTAATGATTCATAGTCATTACTTTTTATCCATTTATCTACCACACTATGATCCAATACAGTAGGTAGAAAGTCATATCTTAAAGAAATGTAATAAAACATTTATCAAATTTGTGAGTATTGATATACAATATTTGTAATCATTTTATAAACAGCATACCCAATTCCTTCAACTTCATAAAAACTACAATCTTCTTTATTTAACTCTGATGGAAGTGCAAGAATACTACCAATAGGATCAACTGCAATGATTTTTACTTTAGGATCTAATTCTTTCAATTTGCGTCCAATGCCAGTGACAGTTCCTCCTGTACCAGCACCAACTATGACATAATCTAACCTTCCATCACATTGTTTCCAAATTTCCATTGCTGTTTGATCATAATGAGCTAGGGGATTCCCACTATTCGTATACTATATATAAATAAATATATAATTTATCTTTCGACACATAAATGTCAAAAATATATTAACATTTTTATTTTTTTTTTAATAATAATATTTGAAACTTACTTGATCAAGAATAACACTATTAGGAATTTCTTCTTGTATTTTTTGAGCAATACTAATATGACTCTCAGGACTATCCCAAGCTGCTTCCGTTGGTGTTCTGACTATTTCAGCTCCAAGTGCACGTAAAACTTGTACTTTTTCATTAGACATTTTTTCTGGCATAACAATGATACATCTATATCCTTTAACAGCAGCAACCATTGCTAAACCAATTCCTGTGTTACCACTAGTTGGTTCAATTATAGTAGAACCTGGCTTCAATATTCCTTTTTCTTCTGCATCTTGGATCATTCTATATGCGATTCTGTCTTTCACAGAACCACCAGGGTTCATAAATTCACATTTTGCAACTAAAATATAATAATCATATAGGTTATGTTATATTATTATCAGAAGATAGCAATGTTTTTAACATTTGATATATACCACCATTTTCTACCACACTAGTCAAAATGACTGGTCTGGTTTATCTAATGTTAAGATTTGAGAAAAAAAAATACAGACATTATTTATGTGTATTTCTAATCAATTATTTGTAAATATGAAATGTGAATACTTACATATTTCACATTCTAGTCCGTGTAATTGAGGAATGTTATTTAAACGTACTAAAGGAGTTTGACCAATAGCTTCCAAAATGTTGGGCAAAATACTGTTACGATTTGAAGGCCTATAAATTTATAATATTTTTAAAACTATAATATAACTATATATATATAAATGAGTTTAAATGAATATGTATAAATGAAAAATATTAAAATATATACATACTCTTGTCTTACTGTATGAGGCGTATCTGTTGCATTTGCCTTCCATGTGCATTGACTTAACCGGTTAGGACGTTTTTGTTCCATTATACAGATCTATTTATGCACATAAACATATTTATTTAATTCATCATAATATCTATACTTATTATTTGATAAATAACAATTTAAATAAACGAAACTTTACAATAAATTTGTTTGATTATAAAAGAAGAAATTTTAATTGAATGAATTACATACATGTAGTATATTATTCTTCTTTTTATTATTTTAATGATGTATAAAATATCGTATTAATTAACTTTTAATATATAATAAAATGTTATACAGTTATAATAAAAATAAAATTCGGATATTATATAATATAAATAGAAAAAAAAAAAATAGAAAAATTAAAATTCAATTGAACACGTTAGAACTGTTTTCAGTAACTGTCTAATTCTGAATGACGTCAGTGCTGCCAATTACCTAATATATAATCTATTTCACCAACACTTATAAACACACCAACACACTTATTTTTTTCAAATGATAAATAATTTTATTGACAATTTAAAAATTAAACACGTTAAAAACTGTTTCAATAACTGCCTTATTCTGAATAAGGTCAGTGCTGCCAATTACCTAATACAATATTTATCTTATCAACATTTACTTTTTCAAACGATAAATACAGTACAATCCCACTAATCCGGCACTATTAAAAACCAGAGGATGCCGGATTATTAGAATGTTCGGATTACTGGATAATATAGAAAAAAAATTATAAGTAGCGCGGGTGGGGGTGCCGGATTATTGGACGTATCGGTCTATTGAAGTGCCGGATTAATGAGATTATACTGTAATTTTATTGACAATTTAAAATAATAATAATAATAATAATGAATAATATATAATTTTCTTAAATTTGATAAAAAAGAACGCTTTTCAAAAATACATTTAACATTTGTTTTGCTTAAATTCTTCCATCAACATCACTTGCTTTTTAAACAAATAATCTTTGTCCTCAATAGTTAACAAAGTTTGTATATCATTGACATTGAAATTAATTTTTCGTAATATTTCATATTTACTTTCAATGATACGCGAAATGTCGATATAATTTTTATGATCCTTGTCGCATTTGATCATACAATCAGATTTTGTCTTACATTGAATATAAAAGTAAAGTATATTTATAAATTTAGTTTCTTCTCTGTAAGTATCATAGTCATATTTAAATGGACTTTCAATTGATGACAATTGTTTATAAGAATTATCATCAACACCTATGAACTTTATTATCAATTTTTTGATATCATTTATATAAAAATATTTATACGAATCATAATTAATTATTTCTAATAGCAATTGTTGATATACAATTTCATTATGTTTACAAATTATTTTATCTTTATAAATGTTAGAAAAAATATAATCTTGTATAATTGTACAAGCTGAATCACGTATCTCAAATATATGATTTTTCATTAATACAAGACAACAATGCATTAATAACATTTGTATGTAATGTATTACTTCTGAAAAACGTTGAGCAAACAATTGAAGACATTCTAATGCTTGATATTGTAAATGTGCATTATCGCTAAGTGTCATATGAAACATTTTTATTAATGTTCTATATATGAGATTATCATTTTTGGAAAACATTACTATTAATACATGTCTTAAGTGTAATACGTATGGCTTAATTGAAATCTTCCTTTCAAGTTTTCTCAATAAAATCCGAGCTGTTTCATGTAATTTGAATTCATAAAGATCATTTAATAATGAATTTTTAAAAGTTGTAATTAACAATTTGATCATTGCATTAATGATTAATTCATTACCATTATTATCAATCATTGATGATAAAACATTTAATATGTATTCAAGTATTGGAGGATAATTATGCAAATGAGATAACAAATTAATAGTTAAATCTATATATTCAGATCGAATAATTTTATTAAGGGCATTTGCATTAAATGTATTATGAGATTTAATATAATTCGCGTATAAATATGTTATCATATCTATGAATTGAGAAAAATTTGCATTAGTCTTAGCAATGTTATGCAATGCATCAAAATTATTTAAAATAATGTTATCGAATAATTCAAAATTTAATGTAAATGATTTCCATTGAAATGATTTAATGAACGTGCATTCTATAGTATAACATATTTTTTCAATGCCTTTCAATTTTAATTCATTATTCCAGACCTTCATAATATTTTCGATTCTACTTTCATCCAAATATTTTAATTTAGGAAAGACATTTATTAAATCAATTTTATCAGATGATGTTACACATTCAGCTTCGGCTAAAAATTTCTCTTGTAAATAATTGATAGTAAGTAATTGTCCATGTAACATATTAACACTGTTCTCTGATAAAATGTTCAACATGAACGTTTCAATTTCTGATTTAATACATGAAAATGGAGTTAAAGCTGCATACGCTTTTGCAGTAAGTAATCTAACATATCCCACAGGAATACCCATAAGTTTGTTAAAATAACTTTTCATCTCTTGTACAAATTCATTTGCTAAATGATCGATGAAATAACAACCACTGACCGAAAATTTCGAAAGTAGTACAAGAGGATGTACAAGATTTGAATAATCAGGTAATATGGAGTTAGTTACTGTTGATAATTTTGAAATAATTTTAAGGAACTTTGATATGCGTTTTTTAAGCTTTGGATAATGAGTGATGAAATGATAAATATGATATCCATTACCAAAATCTAAAGATTTATCACCAATACTTTGTCCTACCAAACGTGGAACTAAAGAACCAAATAAATGAAGACTGGCATTCCTGAAAAAAACAAAATAAAAACATTCAATTTTTTTTTAAAATATTAACTTCGTACTATTTAATTATAATAAACGATCTTGAGAAGAAAAAAAAAACATATGATATATAATTGTTTACCTGATTTGCCAATTAGTTGATTTTAAACATCGAAAACATGCTACAGTAATATCATCAATATATGATACTAATTGTGCATGTATCTCTTTATCGGTTACTAATTCACGTAAGAAAAATAAATATCTTACTAATGGAGGATCATAAGTAATATCAGGTTCATTACTTTCCAATGTTTCTACAGGAAAGTTTTCTATATAATTCTGTAATCGTTGTACAACAAAATGTAAAAATGGTCTTCCATGACGAATATCATTCGATACAATTTTATGAAACATCAATGTAAGTCCAGCACCACGTCGAGTTATATTAATATTGTTCATTGTATTATCATCTAATAAATGTTCAACATACATCTCTAATTTTTTAGCATAAATCTCTTGTTTAGATATACATCTGAAATAAACACACACATATATTATTAACAGTTATATCATAAATTGCAATTAATTATAATGAATATAATGAAAATACCTCACTAAATTGCCAAGTGCTACTCCAGCAGTTTCGATTATACCTTTATGTCGACATTTCATTAATACAGTTGTGATTAGTTTAACTGAATGTAATGTAGTCTCTTCAGAATACATGAAACTACCAATAGCGTCAGCTATTTCACAAGAAACCTTTAAAGTAAATATAATTTGTCAATTGTTTTCACATTATTTGATTGAACAAAATAAATCAATCAATGAAAAATAATTCATTTCAAAATGAATATGATTTTACCTTTAAGGATAACCATATGCAAGATAGAATAATTTGATTAGCATATATCAGAGTAAAATCATCATTAATTTCATCACTTAATTTGCTAGTTTGAATGATATAATTAATTGCTAATCCCATGTCTTTGAATGATGATGCATAATCTGATGAAATATCAATAATATCAATTAAAATGTGATCCATCTTATTTCATTATAATAATATGTTAAATTGTATAATTCATTTTTACCAGTAGTTTCAGAGTTTGGTGATAATTTGGATAAGAGTATATTTATAGCACCATCTAAGAAATCCAATAATTTTTTGACGAATTTTAAAGGAGGTATGCACTTTTTGGTATCACGTTGAAAATATACAGTAAACATGGCAGTAAGAATACCATAAAATGGTTTTTCATTATTAACAGACGCATCTAATGGTTTCTCTTTCAATTCTAGCAATTGTTTTTCTGCTATATGTAAAAAGAATTCGTAATAATGATTGCACGAAATACTTTCACCATGTTCATCAGTAATATATTCTTGAATAAATGGCTCCCACGTTGAAAAAACTTTCATCAATGCTGCTCCACTATCCACTTTATAGAATTTTAATGAATTACATTCTTTTATTGCAATATCAAATATTACCTAGTAATAAATAATGAAAATAATATTATACATTTCATTAGAATGTTTAAAAGAAAAGAAAAGAAAAGAAAAAAAAAACAAAAAAAAAACAAAAAAGAAAACTTAACACAAAAACTTAAATTAAAACAAATCAAAGTTCTTACTTTTTTTTCTGTACTTATTAAAACATCTTCGTCAAAATAATTGATAATAATGGAAGTTGTTATTTGTTTGATATCAAGTGCACTATTTTCTATTAGATTTAAGAGGACTAATAAAAATGTTCTATTTGTAAATTTGACCATTGTATCTAGTATCACACATTTGTCATTAGGTACAAAACGAGAATCATTTTTTACTTTAAGTGGATGCTTACATGTATACGTATAAGTTACAGATAGAATAATTTTGTATAAATTTAAAGCAAATATTTTACGTTGATAACAAGAGCCAGGTTCAAAACAATCTAATAAAAATATATTCAACCAATCTATTATCTCGCACATAAATTGAGTATGTTCAACATTTTCACTTATTTTCAAAACGTTCGTGTAAAAAATTTTAAAACATTTTTTTATTTCATTTCTTAGAAATAACGATGTGGTATTTGCGTTATACCATAAAAATTGTTTCATTATAAAAAAGTTATTCATTTGATCGTGATTATATAACTTAATGTGTTCATAACAACAAATTGTAAAACCATTTAATCTGACAATATCATTTTCATGACGTATAAAAGAGATAATGTCAGTGTGTAGTGAAACAGTGATATACAGTTTACTAGTAATCCTTTGAAAGTGTGAATCAAAATATGGTACTTTTAAATCCTTAACTATATCCCTTAAAAGTGTTATGATAGTTTTGTACTTTTTTATGGTCGGTTCAATCCATAAATTGCAAAGTGATTTAATTGCATAATAATTTTTTCTGAAATCATTAATAAATTAAATATCAATGAAATAAATATATAAATAAATAAATAAATAATTAATAATAATTATTAAAATATAAAGTAATAATATCATATATCTTTAATATATTTACTTTGGTCCTATTTCCCATTGATTAATAAGATATTTGATAACATTAGTGAATGATTTTTTCCAATCTTCCTCACTTAATATATTTAAAATATTCAAATATACTTTTGTACCATAATGATGTAAATGATTTTTCGTTAATGAAGTGCTCAAATTGAATAAAAAATCTTCCGTTATTATTTCTCTAATTCTACTTGCTTTTGACACTTTAAAAATCTCCGACAATATAATATATTTTGTTTCATTTTGCCATGACATATTAATAACATTATTAAATATATATTCCATAAATCCGTGATATTTTTCAGTCATAATATTCAAATATGTATGAAAAATTTGTGTTGCATTTTGTTTATTAATATCATTAATTGAATTATGCCAATTTGAAAATATAATCTCTTCTAAATTTTGTTCTATTGATGAAGATGAGTCCGTATTCCAAAAATCTATGTTTATCGATGCATTTAACCAATTTATCAACAGTTTGTATGCAAAATATGTATAAAGGCTATATTTTGTGCAAAAAGGATAAAGAATTTTGAACATAGTACTTAATATATTATCGGAATATAAATTGTACTTATTAACTTGTAAATAGCCATGTATAATGATCAACTGAAACAAATCTGAATTATTTATTTTATATTTCTTATAACTAAAAGATAATTTAGATTTATTCTTTAATTCTTCTTCTAAAAAATATGTGATATATTTTTGCATAGTTTTAGGACCATATGGAATTGATAGAAATTCAAAAAATGCATGAGAAGCTAATAAAATTTCTTCTCGAATTATTGTATCATGATATTTAGCCAATGTTTCCACTATATTTTCTAATATTAATTGCCATTTTTCTGCATTCTCATCACTCAATGAATAATCCTTTAATGAACGATTATATGTTATTAATTTCTGAAATAAAAAAAAATGAAATATTTTTATTAATATAATATTCTAATATTTTATTCATTATATATATATATATATATAATGTAATTAAATTATTAAAAAAATATAATATAGAGTACTAACTTTATAAATAGGTTTTTTTCTTTTAGATGTTTCTAACTCTTGAAGTACTTTAGAGAAATCCATTGTATTATCAGATTTTTGACTCATTTTAATATATGAGTCACTTGCATTGAAGAATTTATTAATAATTTGTATTTTTTCAGTACACACTTCTTATATGTAATTTAAAATAAATATAATTATTATTATTATTATTATTATTATTATTACTACACACTATTCTATTTATCAGAATGATTGTGTCGTTGTTTTGTAAAATTAAAAACTGATTTGATCAGTGATCACACATAGTATTAAAATGTTTCATTTATTTGTAGAGTATTTTTCGTTTTTATTTAGAGACATCCCCTGTAATATAGGAAACAAACAAAAAATAATAATATTCTTTATTATATCAATTAAATATATAATCGTCAAAATGAAAAATTAGGACAAATCACAAAAAAAAGAAATGATTAGAAATGAGCGGATGATTTAATAATAAAATGTACAGATATATTTGTAAGTATTTATTTATTATATTTATGAGCTATGAAAATAATGATAACAAATAAATAACAAACTTATTACATATAGATATACATTTTTTGTTTTTGTTTTGTTTATTGTTCTATCAAACAGATGTCCGTTTTTTTTCTTCTGGAACATATCCTTCTAGCTCCAAACGTTCTTTAAATTTGATATATTCCCTTTTACGATCAAAATGTTTCACCTGATCAATAGTAATTGATCATAAATTATGAATAAAGAAATAAAATAAGAAATATATATACATATATCTTAATTACAGTATTATCTCACTAATCCGGCACTTCAATAGACCGATACGTCCAATAATCCGGCACTTCAATAAACCGATACGTCCAATAATCCGGCACCCCCCACCAGCGCTACTGTCACCCCTCTACGCCTATGCGCTCTGTCGCCGCGTCGTCGTCTAGCAGTCTAACCTCAAAACTTCTAATTTTGTTTCTCTATATAATCCAGTAATCCGAACATTCCAATAATCCGGCACCCTCTCGGGTTTTTAATAGTGCCGGAGGATTAGTGAGATTGTACTGTATTTATTAAAAATAAAACATACCCATTGAGATGGACAAAATTGTTCATATTTTTTTCTAAATTCATTACAATCAGTTTGTGATTTGGATTCATCTAAACATTTCCAATACTCGTCTCTATGATTCCAACAAACAAGTCTATCTTCTTTATTTGGAAATGACATTCTGTAAAATAATATTTGATATAAAACTATAACCTTTTAATTCTTTGTAATTAAATCAACATGACTAAAGTTTTAAAGGTTTTGGAAAAAAAAAAGAATATTTATGAAATGATTGTAACAAAAAAAAAAAAAAAAGAATTTGATGGATAAAATACTTACCTTTAATATTCGCCTAGATTTATTTTTAAACATTTATTTTATCAATAATCTCTCACTCACTTATATATTAAATATGAAACATAGATAAATATAAATACAATGATATATGTTAAATATCAAAATGATAACATTCAAATCAAATGTAAATAAAAATGATCTGTTAAATATGTTCTCTTTAACGTTTGAACATATTTAACCTTGAGCGACTAAAAATAGTTGACAAAAATATGAAACTATATATAAAAAGTTATAAATAAAATTTATAAATAATTTATGAAACGGTATTTTTTTTCTTTTTCATCTACATTAGAATAAATTAATAATCAAGATTAACTATAATAATCCAAATGTTATTATCATCAAGATTTGAATTTACTTTAACAAAACTTCAACGTATAAATGTATAACTTGTTAATTATTGTCAATTATTTTTTATATCAATTTATCTAGAATTAAAAAAAATTATTTAAATACAAAAAAAAAAGAACAGAAAAATTAGATTATAAATCAACATTAATTTAAATAAATGAAATAATATATGAATATGAATACAATTTTACTGGGATTACGTTACATGCTTAAAGAGTTATGTACATCAGTTAAACGACTGATTAATTAGATCAAATGAAGCTTTAGAAAAATAATATAAAGTTAAAATTATGTGCAATTATTTTAATTATTTTCTTTATAATTCATTTACGATGTAGTGTAAATGAATTTTTATTTAAACAATGTAAATTTATTATTAGCTAACCTGTTTGTCTGAACATTCACATTAACAGCACATGAAAATTGATATCACTTGATAACGGTCTGTCTTCTCTATTCTTGACTTCTATTTTAAATTAAACAATAAATAACAGAATGTTTATTTATCATAGATTATGAAAACATATATATATATATTTACAATTACTGTTATTTTAATTTTATTAGAATAATATACGAATAATCCATGTGATTACGATGGAGTACTTTGCGCGGGAAACGTAACCATTTTTAAATAACGTATATACCTACATGCAGATATTTGAAAATTAAAAAATAATTAAATAACTTATTGCATCATTAAGAATATAGTAATATTATTTAAAGAATCGTAATGCTACGAAATAGTATATAAAGATATATTTAAAGATATATTCATATATATATATATATTCTATATATATATAAAATCGTATTGTGTTAACTTATATCGAAATCGTGCAATCCGATCTATATATCGAACGATTATCGAATGTATTTGAAAATAAGATTGCCTAGTCATAAGAACAAAAAATATATTTAAATAAATTTAGAAAAAAAAACACACACACACATTTATAAATTAATATTATCAATTGCGAATAATTTATTTTAAATTGAAAAAAGTTTATTTTTAAAACATAATACTTCATTTTCCAAATACCTTTCTGATGCTTCATTTCGTAAGCATGCGTACGATGGACTACGTAGATGATGTGGGGAAGCCAATATGGCTGGGTGGCATCGGTTATCCGCACGATTATAATAAAAGTAAACTATTTGGATAATTCAACAAGAATTTGAAATAAATATGTCGGATTATTTACGATCTGCTATAGGATACTTAAATGGAGGAACTAATACCAATGAATACGTTGGTCAAATTTTGGAAATCAATAATGTAAAACTCCGTGTTAACAGATTAATTGCTGAAGGTAAGTTTGTTGCATGCTTTCACTTTTACAATTAATCATTTATTTCGTCATTATTTTAGGTGCTACCATTTTTTTCATTTGTATTCATACAAAAATCTATCCTTTTTTTTTATTGTCATTGTAAATAATAATGTCGTTTATCATACTGTATGACATTTAAGTTATTAACATTTAACCACCTGGCATCTGTCAAATATGTTTTGACATATCTAATCAAACAAATGTCTATGCATTATTTTACATTTTTAGATATATAATTGATATTTTTAGAAACTAGTTTTCACTTTCTAATACGATTAATTAATTAATTTATATTGGTTTTTTTTTCTCCTTATATTCCATATTTTTCTATGATAGATCTATTTGAAAACTGTCAAGAATTACAAATAAATATTTAGTTTATACAATATACTATATATATATGTGTGTTTATTAATAATTTTTACAAATAAAAAAATCACTCAGTTGAAAAATAACTTTGAGAGAGAAAGCTTTTAATTATTAAACTAAACTGCTATAGTTAACAAATGATTGCACACAAAGAAACAGTGAGTTCAATATGTTAAGTTGATAAAAAAAGAAAAACAAAAACAAAAACAAAAATGGAATAATTTATATACAAAATATTTATGAATAAATATATAACTTTAATACTTGGTATATCCTATGTTTGATATAAAAAGCAAGTTAAATATATTTCTATATATATAGTTGTTGTAATGAAATTATGTATCGTTATGAATATTTAGATAATTTGTGGCAAACGTCGTATCAACAGGTGGATGGGCTTTGGTGTTTGCAGTAGAAGATATTTCAACGGGAAAGGAATATGCACTTAAGGTGAAATATCTATTATCAAGATTATTTTATTCAAAGATACAATAGATTATTTGTTTAAATTATAATCAGGGATGATTATTGTTATGTTAATAGAGACTCATCGCAGCTGATGAAGATGCTAACAAATCTATTATACAGGAAATAGAAATATTAAAAAAATTATCAGGCCACCCGAATATTATTCAATATTTGTATGCACAATGTTTAGAAAAGGAAGCTAGTAAGAATATTGAGTATTTACTAGTCACAGAATTATGTCCTGGTGGGACTCTTGCCGATTTACTTCGAAATGTTGCTTCAAATTCATTAACATTTGCTCAAATATGTAAAATTGCCTATCAAGTGACAAGAGCTGTTCATCATATGCATAGTCAACAGCCTGAACCATTTATACATCGTGATATTAAATTGGAAAACTTTTTAATTGGAGCTGATGGTATTATCAAATTATGTGACTTTGGTAGTACTACAACTAATCAAATCTTACCAAATCCATCATGGAATGCTCAAAAGCGTGCTACTTTGGAGGATCAAATGGCGAAATGTACAACACCTATGTACCGTGCCCCAGAAATGATGGATACATGGAATAATGAACCTATAGGACCACCAGTCGATTGTTGGGCACTTGGTTGTATTTTTTATTCTTTAGTTACTTTGCGACATCCATTTCCAGATGGTGAGATTTGCTTGTTTATATTGTTTCATATGATCATCAACAAAAAAGAAGTCATACTAATTGATTTTTATTTTGTTTTATTTGTAGGTAATAAATTAGCGATTCTCAATGCCAAGTATCCATCATTACCTCCTAATCCTCGGTTATCATGTATACATGAATTAATAAAATTGTGTTTAAATGTATCGCCAGTACAAAGATTAACAACAGCTGCATTATTAGAACGACTTGCAGCAATTGGAGAATCAAATAATATTGATCTTAGAGAAGCTCCAAATGTGGAAATAGCAACTAAACCTCCTCCACCACCAAGACCAACACCACCTTCTAATACACAGTCACCACCACCAAGATCAGCATCCACAGCAACAATGCCACCTCCCAGACCTGTTCCTATTCAACAACAATCTGTAGTTAAATCAGCAGTTGTAGCACAGCCAGTCGGCCTATTTAGTTCATTAAAAGGTGGTGCGGGTAGTTTATTACGTAATATAAAAGATACTTCCAGCAAAGTGATGCATACTGTACAACAAAGTATGGCAAGAACTGAATTGGATGCTAGTTATTTAACGTCACGTATATTAATAATGCCATATCCAGCTGATGGTATAGAATCTGCATATAGGGCAAATCATGTAGAAGATGTAAGGAATTTCCTTCAATCACGGCATCCACCACCAACTCGTATTCAGTTATATAATTTATCTCGTGGACGACCAAGTGTATCTAGATTACCTGGAAGACATATAGATTGTTCATTTGCTTATGCATCTGCAGACTCTACTGCACCATTATTGTCTGCATTATATCAAATTTGTCAAGATATATATAGATATTTGAAAGCTAATTTTAATCGTATTGTAGTCTTGTATTGCACAGTGAGTATACTTTTTCTAAATATATTTTTCATTATTTTCTTCTCAATTAATTTCTAGTAATATTTATTTATATTATACACTTATATTTTTCATTTACAGGATGGTTATCATGCAAGTGCTACAGTGGCATGTGCTCTTTTGATTTACGCTAGAGTTTTATTTTCTAGTGAAGAAGCAATAGCATTGTTTACAACAAGACGCTGTTTACCCCCACAATTGCAACCATCAGAATTACGCTGTATTAATTATATGACTTTTCTTAGCAACGGTACTCTTCCTCATACTACACCTTTAATACTTCGTTCTCTTATAATACAGCCAGTACCATTATTTACAAGAGCTAAAGATGGTTGTAGGCCTTACATTGAGATTTATAGTAATGGTGCACAAGTTTTTTCGACTAAACGACAAGTATACGAAGAAATGAGATTATTTGGTATGACGGAAGGAAAAATATGCATAATAATAGGAGACGCTACAATACGTGGAGATGTTACGATTGTTTTATTTCATGCAAGACAACAATTGGGACGTGTTATTGGAATTAAAATTGCTTCATTGCATTTTCATACAGGTTACGTATCATTAAATGAAAATGCATTGATATTTGATAAACAAGACTTAGATGAGGTTCCAGAAATTGGTGGAAAATTTCGTGTTATTTTAAATGTTATGTTTGGTAAAAATAACTCAAAGTTATCTAGAATACCAGCTCCATGGGAAGAAGAAGAATGTTCCAAACTTGTACCTGATTTTTTATTTGGATCAACATTGGAGATGGAAGAAACATTAGACAATTTTAGAACTACTGTAGAAAAGGTAAAGATTTGTTTCATTTTATTTAATATGTTGTTGCTTAAATTTCATTAAAATAATATAATATAAATATGTGTGTGTGTGTGTGTGTGAAGATTTTTATATTTAAAAAAGTATTTTATATACACTTTAGACTGAAAATAATGATAAACCAGAGCCTGTGCCTGAAACAGCAACTGATAATATGGTGCAAGAGGAAATATCCTTAATACAAAATACTGTAGAAGAAAAAGAAGATAAAAAGGAAGATATACTCCAAGAAGCTGACTTATTAAATCTAGGATTTTCAGATAGCAATACTGTTAATAATCCTAACGTTACACCCGCTATAGATCCAGGATTTGATATATTCTCTAGTTCTAGTCAAAACGAAAATGATCTCTTAGGAGGATTTGGTGTGTTTACTCAACAAGAAACAACTAAAAACTCCTTGCCTACGATTAATGATCCTGTACAAAATGACTTATTATTTGGAAATGATCAATCTGTTAAAATGGAAACTAGTAAAAGTAATGTTAATATGAGCAATCTACTTTTTGATCAGAAACAAACTGCAACTAAAGAGACAACTGAAATATTGTTTGACCCATTGAGTGACACCTCTGCAAGTAATTTTCTTGGAGGTCTGACAAATTCTAAATCAAATGTATCAAAGATGCCAAATGTTGAAGAAAATTTTCCACGAAATGCGAGTGTACCAAATTTTGCAGCACAAAATAAAGATCCATTTGCAAATCTTGCTGGATCATTAGGGGCAGGTCTTACTTCTAGCTGGAATGGAACACCAAGAAATTCTAATACTCCTCAATCTGCTAGTCCAGCTCCTGCTAGTACTCCCATTCATTCAAGTCCTAATATGCATAAGTCTAATACAACTAATGACACGAGTAACAACGATTCCAATGTATTCAGCAATAAATCAACAAAAACAAGTGGTGATGCATTTGAAGATTTACTTGGTAGTCAAGGATATAACTTTTTTAGCTCGCGAAAAGCAGAAAAGGATAGTCCCAAAACGATCAATCAAATGCGCAAAGTAGAAGCAGCCAAAACAATGGATCCAGATTGTTTGAAAGTTGCTGAATGGACTGAAGGTAAAAAAGGAAATTTACGTGCATTACTTTGCTCGTTGCACACTGTTTTGTGGCCTGAAGCTGAAAGATGGCAACGTTATGAAATGCATCAATTAGTTACTGCTGCTGATGTTAAAAAGGCATATAGAAAAGCATGTTTGGCTGTACATCCTGATAAGGTATTTATATTACATAATAATATTATTATCGTTTATTTAAAATGTTATTGATAAATTAATGATTTTATTGTTGTATTGCAGCAAACAGGAACTGCAAATGAAAATATAGCAAAATTAATATTTATGGAACTGAATAATGCTTGGAGCGCATTTGAAAATGATACATCTCAACAAAATTTATTTAGTTAATTCTTGAAATTATTGTTGTTATTAAAGGGTGCAAATTTATCTCTATTACTGTCATAAGTTTAAAAAAAAAAAAGAAAAAAAAAAAAAACAAAGCAAGCAAGCAAGCTAAAAATCTATTATATTACAATTGTTTTGTTTAATGTAAAATAACTCTATATTGCATTCCAAGTATTAGCTATGATCAAGAACAAAAAAAAAACAAAAACAAAAACAAAAAAAAAGAAATCAAATCAGTATTTTATTAAATACTGTATAAAATAACATTATTTCTAGCCATAGGAGTCTAGTTAATGTAATGTTATAAACATATATGTATATAAGGCAAATATAAATTAAAAAAAGATTCGAAATATATTAAAAATATTTTCCGCCCATACTATTTCGTCATTTATTATTCCCATTAATAATATTGGAATAATAATAACTGTATATATATATATAAATACAAAAAGAGAGACAAGTAAGAATATTCTATAAAACAGTTACTACTCGTCATTATTGAACTGTCGTAAAAGTAACTTTTGATTTTATTTGATTAATTATTGTTTTATTGTTTTCTTAATTAAATCCTAAATAAAAGGATTATTATTATTATTATTATTATTATTAATTATGATTATTTTATTTTTTGTTATTAGAAGAAGGAACGTGATGTCACACATATTGGTCCTAACACACATATCTATGATAGAATGTGTGCATTTTGGAGGGGTGTGTAGAAATGTTGCTTGCGTGCGCTATAGGGTTGCAATTTAAAGGGAGGGGCTGCTCAAAAATGGCTGATACGCACAGGGTTGTTGGATATTCGGAAAAGAGAGAGTGACGGTTCGTGTCTTCCATAAACGACCAATTGACATTATTTTATGACAATTGTTGTTAATATAGTTTAATTAATAATTATTATGAGGCGTTTAAGTAATAATCTTCGTGTACTCTTAAAACCACCACCAAAAATAACGGATACAGATCTTCCTCCCGAAAGGTGAAGTATCCCCTGATTATGATCGTTAAATTATAATTCGTTAAATAACGAAATTATATAGATCACGAGAAATATTATTTTTCTGTACGTATAATTTTATATTATTTAATTATATATATATATATAGATATATAGATATATAGATATAGATTTATTTAAAAAAAAAAAAAATTAACAAATTATATTTTATTTTATAAATTGCACGCTATAATATTAATTTCAATGTTATTTTTTTCTTCTTCTTCTTTTTTTATTTTTCATTTTGTGCTTGTAATAAACTAATAATAAATTATATATATATATATATAAATATATATAAATATATATTTATATTACAGTAATTTATATTACAGTATATTTAAAGAAAAAAAAAACTAACTATGTTATACAAAATATATATATATATATTTTATTAACAATTTATTTTCTTATCCATAGATTAGAGCCTCCTTTTAGTAATATGGATCAAGGAAATTAAAGAGAAAACAAATATATACAGAGAAGTAATAAAAAAAAAAAAAAAAAAAAAGAACAAACCTTTAAGAATGATGTCTGGGTCCGTTTTAAGAATTGCATTTTTCCTTTTTTTGGGATTTTCAACAAGCTTGTTAATATTTAGTAAAGCAGACGAAACTAGGTCTATCAGAGCTTCAAAAACAGATGCAACTAAATCTATCAGAGCTTTAAAAGCTCGATTAAAAACATCTTATTCATCATGGCGTATAGTAGTATGTTTAACTCAGCCGCAAACTCTCTATAAGATGGATTTTCAAAGATCATGGGAAGAAGCTAGATTAGAATCATCATCTCAAGCAGATATGGAAGTATCATATATCGAAGCAAGAATGACACCATTGAAAGATACTTTGTCATATCCTTTGTCATTATTAAATAAGTTTTGCACAGACATCGAAGGTGGAAAAACAGTGTTGAGCCTTGTAATGGGTGGAGGTTCAGCGGCTAGATTTCTTGTTACAGCTGCTACTGCCTTGAATCTTCCAGCTTTATGGTTACCATTTGCTCATCGTGATTTTCTTCGTCAGGTTAGTAATTTATCATTATTACTATTTAATATATTAAATAGTACTAATGTATATTTAATTGACACTTTATTATAGGGTAATTATGGTCCTTTTGAAAGTCGTATAGGTTCCAGTTCTAAAGAAGTTGGTGCAGCAGCTGCTGCATTAATGCACAGAGCAAATTGGCATGCATTTACATTACTGATCGATACAACTTTACTTCCCGTATCACATCTATTTCAAACAAATCAACCAGTGTTAACACCTAGAGTAATCATTCATCTACCAACGAATGATAAAACATTGATAATGAGATTAAGAAGAGTAGCTGCTGAAGGAGGTACTGGTGGAATAGTTGTGATGGGTTGTGATTTAAACAACGCAAGAAGAATACTTACAGCAGCTAGCAAGTTTGAAATGCTTTCAGGAAGATTTTTATGGCTCTGGTTAGATCTAAGAGCAGAATTAAGACCTAACGAACCAAATATTATTAGTTCACATATCGTACATAGTTCTTCAAGAGCATCAATAGCAATGAATGGAAATTCTCCTCCATTAGATAACTTAGAACGCAATATTAATCTTATATCGGATAATCAATTACCATTAAATTCTTTACCAAGTTTGACAAATGATATACACAGATTGCAAGAATATAAATGGCAAAATGAAAAGACCGTAACTAAACGCGAAGACAAAATGTATCATTTTGATGATGAAGAAATTCGAATAATGGATAAGGAATTAAATTCTAAAAGTTTCATGCCAGTTGGAATGCTTGCCTTAAGACCTTCCAGTATAAAAGTAATGAATGGTGATATCTTATTATCTAGAATATTAAGAGAGACATCTCAAGCGTTGGATGAAACATTATCAGACATGAAACCAAAGATGAGTCGTCTTAGAGAATCTCAATTGAAAGAACATTTTATTCCTGAATGTTTTCCACATTCAAATGCTAAATTTTTAACAAGTGAAATAAGGGAAAATTTTTCTAGAATATTAACGCATAAATTAAGAAAATCAATGGGAGTCATTTCTAAAGATAAAGCTGAGTTTCAGTTGTTAAATTTGCAAGCAGTGAGGTTTCCTGGAAATAAGACACAATTAAGGTTCATAATATATTGTTTCTTTTGATTAAGATTTTAATATTTGTCTAAAATAAAAATCTTTCGTCTATAGATGGACCAAAGTGGGTACTATCAAAGGAGGAAAGGAAGTTCGTCTTGATACAATAATTTGGCCAGGTGGTGGTATTGTTCCAGCATATCTTGAACAAGGTGGAGAAAGTATTGGAATGCCGGTATACCGTATAGTAACTGCATTAGCTTCACCATTTACTATGGCTACAAAATTACAAGAAGGACTTTGTTTAAGAGGATTAATTTGTCGTCATGGGAACACCATCATGTGTTGTTATGGATTAAGCATAGATTTGATGTCCTTGGTGGCACGTGAATTGGGATTTCGTTTTGATTTGTATGTTGCTCACGACGGTCTGTTTGGAAAAAGGAATGGCAGAAGTGGTACGTGGAATGGTATAATGGGTGAATTAGTTTCTGGACGTGCACAATTGGCATTTGCTGCGATGAGTGTATCAGCACATAGAGCAGAAGCAGTAGACTTTACTACGCCATATTTTTTTAGCGGAGTTAGTTTTCTTACAGCCCCAAAATTAAAATCAGAGATACCCTTATTTGCATTCCTTTTTCCATTCAGTACAGAATTATGGATTGCCGTATTTACTTCGTTAAACTTTACTGCAATAGCAGTAGCAATCTATGAGTGGTTAAGTCCGTTTGGTCTTAATCCATGGGGTAGACAACGAAGCAAAAATTTTTCAATAGCTTCTGCCCTTTGGGTAATGTGGGGACTTTTGTGTGGTCATCTGGTAGCTTTTAAAGCACCAAAATCATGGCCTAATAAATTTTTGATCAATATTTGGGGAGGATTTTCTGTCATCTTTGTAGCTTCATATACAGCTAATATAGCTGCTCTTATTGCGGGCCTTTTCTTTCATTCCGCTGTCAGCAATTATCATGATAAAAGTGTAAGTATTTAGAATAATTTGTACAATTTCATAAATATACAAGTAAGTTTTCATTTATCAATAAAATATATTATAATTACAGTTATTATCACAAAGAGTAGGTGCACCCAGAGCATCCGCAGCTGAATATTATGTACAGAGAGCTAATCCTCAATTATGGTCACATATGGCGCGTTATTCATTATCAGATGTTGCCGAAGGTGTTGAAAGATTAAGGAATGATAGTTTAGATATACTCATTGCAGACACACCTATTTTGGATTATTATCGTGCGACAGACGATGGTTGTCGTTTGCAAAAAATTGGTGACACTATCAATGAAGACACATATGCTGTTGCTCTTACAAAGGGCCATCCTCTTAAAGAGAGCATTTCTAAAGTTATAGCAAATTATACTAGTAATGGATTATTAGATATTTTACAAGAAAAATGGTATTTATTACAATTAATAATAATATTAATTATATTATAGAAAGAGATTGATGAAGATATTCTATTTATTTATTTGATAAATTTATAGGTACGGTGGACTACCTTGTATCCATGGTCGGGAAGGTATGGATACAGGATTAGAACCTGAACAAGGTGGCCAACCTCGACCATTAGGAGTGGCTTCTGTAGCTGGTGTATTTTGTCTTTTGGGAATGGGTGTTGTATTAGGAGCTATTATTCTTGCTGGAGAACATCTGTTCTATAAATATACATTACCAAGGCTAAGGCATAGATCAGAAAATTCCATTTGGCGTAGTCGTAATGTAATGTTTTTTTCACAAAAGCTGTATAGGTTTATTAATTGTGTAGAACTGGTTTCACCTCATCATGCTGCAAGAGAATTAGTGCATACTGTTAGACAAGGACAAATTGCTTCTCTTTTTCAAAAAAGTGTTAAACGAGTAAGTTCTAAACTTTTACAAATACTTTTGTTTTTCTTTCCATATATATATATATAAATATCTACTAAGTATCCCTGTTCCAGAAGGAACACGAACAACGTAGACGGCGTAAAAGTAAAGCTCAGTTTTTTGAAATGATACAAGAAATACGAAGGTATTGATGTTATTAATTATATTCTATTAAATAGAAATTACTTGGTATCATATTATCCTCTTGGTTTATTTTTGTATTTTCTTTTTGTTTTTTATTTTGTTAAAATAGAGTACAACAAGAAGAAAAAATAGAAATTGTACATGAAGAAGCAGAAACAACAAAAGTAGTAAAAGAAGAAAAAATAGCAAAGGGAAAAGAAAGAAGTAGAAGTAAAAGTCCATTGATGCGTAGTCCTAGAAGATCAGAAAAAAGTAGAAGTTCTACCAATTTGTATAGTTCTCAGCTTGGATTATCACCTGTCAATCTTGAAACGACGATGAAACCAAGGGAGTTTACCCTTAGTAGCACTAATCTTAGAGCAAGAAGTCCATTGGAGACCGTAGGTCGTAGATTGAGTCACGGTGACGGTGGTTCTCCACCACCACATCTTGGATCACATTTTGGTGGTAGTGCGACATTAAGACCGTTGATGTCAACAAAAAGTGACTCTGCTAGTGGTGGTACTCCTTCAATGAAAGGTGAATCTGTAGGTGGAATACCAACACCCAGGTATTCCCGAAGCCCAGCAAAACGAGGTCAATCTTTTCCAGTATTTGCTACTTTAAGACCACCACATTCGTCTGTTCATTATACTTCGAAAGGTGGTGCATTGTTATCGCCAAATAGCGAATTAACATCTGCTATAGGACGTAAATTATCACGTGAATGGGGCTCTGGAACAATGGATGTAACAAGATCATCAGAAGCTATAAGTGGTGGTTCAACGTACACGTTAAATCAGGAAACAACACTTTCCATTGAATGTCAAGAAGATGATAATAAAGGTCAGGAAGAAGTTATACCTGTTAAGAAACCAATACGCCGTGCTAGAAGTCATGAAAATCGAGATAGTGGCAAATCAATGATAGATTTGCCATCACCAAGATTAATTGCTCAACCTATCGTTGGAGGTCGATCGGTAAGCGAACGAACCAAAAAACAACTTGAGTCAGAATTGAAAGCGATATTAAGTGCCAGAGCTCATCACCGCGATTTACATCCTCCTTGATAGATTGAAATTTAATGGTAAGAGATTTTGAAAGCAGCAAGCTTTGAAGATCGTTGCCTCTGAGGGGCATTGATTGATTTAAGCAATATCAGATTTATAGGTCAATTTATAGAAGAATCTGCCAGTTTACGGGAGGACTGACTCTAAAAAGTAGTAGGCCGTATCAGGAGTCGCATAACTAAGCAAACATTTGCAAACAAAGAAATTTCTTGTTATGTACATTGATAAATATAAGATATTATTGATAAAAAGTGCTATAAACTTGAGTAGAAACGTCTTCATAAAGTAGTATTGTAAACAAACATTCAAATATTTTCTTGTTGGCATTTTAACTCTACATTAACCGTCAACCCTGGTTGAGTCTCTCTTTTAATAGCAATGGGTATTAGATATTGTGCATTACAGTATTTCTCAACTAATGTACAAGAAAATCACAATGTTGTTCAATAGTAATATATATATATATAGAGAGAGAGAGAGTAATCATAATAAATTAAATTGATTTTAATGCAGGTATATGATGTTTCAATCTTAAAATAAAATCGTTCTTTAAATTGATCTAATAATTTGTATTTTATTAGAATAATGTAAAAAAAAAAAAAAAGAAAAAAATCTTGAAGATTATTAACATTAATCAAAGTTGAGAAATACTGTCCCTTTATTGAATTTAGCTGAATTGAATTGTATACTGCCACCTTAATAAATAATTCTTGCGATTGAAGAAAGGAGAGACTTGCTTGATGGACTGCCGGCGTAGAATGACCACTTACTAGATATATGATCAATCTTACAATCATTGTGCCTGTTGATGATAAAAATCATGGGCAAATGAGACTTTAATTAGTCATAATAACTATCATCATCATAATCATCATCATCATCATCATCATCATTATCATTATCATCATGAAATAATTCATTAAAATGAAATATCTAAGAAGAAATCATTTGACATGAAACATTGAAAAGATCGAAACATTTATTCATTATAGGAATTTGACTCTAATTTTTGAGAAGGTAGAAATGCAGTCAAGTAGTTCAATAGCGTAAAGAAATATTGTTAAGTGTTTGCTGCAACGAGTTATATACTTATTATATATGTTTTGATGGAGTATTAGAACAATGCATAATATTTATTTCAAATAGAGGAGAAAGTCTATTGGTACACATTGTCTGTCATGAAAATTTGATTAAACAACAAAAAACAAAAAAATTCAATTGAAAAAGTAATTATTTATAATCAATCAGTACAGTGAACTTTTTCAAGAAATTATTTCTAATCAAAAATAAGCAATATATATATATATATATATATATAAGTTTAATAATTTTTGAATAATAATAATACAATGATATTAGTTATTATTAATTTAAAATCTTATTATTATTAAACACACATACACACCATTATTATATAAACGCAATGAATCTGAAAATTAATTTATTGTGATGTAGATTAGGATATATTATTACATATATATGTATTATTACACGATATGATGAGGACCAAAATACATATTTGCAATATATTATTAAAACTGTTTTACTCTGATGGAAAAATATCTAATTAAAGAAATCATTCTCTTTCGTATATTATAATTATGCTACAACATATGATGATAATAAGACAAATGTCTAATAATAGTATTTACTGTAAAAAAAAAAAAAAAAAAATAAGAAAAAAAAACAAAGTAATCTGTACTATGTGATTATGAAGGAAATTTTTTATTATGCTATGTCATACTATTTTTCTTTTTTTTTCTTCTTTTAATATATGCACTTTTTATTCAATTCTATTACAATTGATATATTATACATATATATATATATATAATATGTACCAATATGCTTATCTCTACAGGAATTGTATATGAAATATAAATTGGAATTGAAATATTATTACACACTATTATTGTGTGAATATCATTCCTTATGTAGATATCCTTTGAATCAAATAAAGGAGATATACATTGATTTGCTTGAATATTTTAACTTATTATTATTATTATTATTATTATTATTAGATTTATATAGAGAGTTATATATATATGTATGAAATTAAATGAAACAACAACAAAAACAAAACAAAAAAAAAGAAAGAAAGAAATTAATTTTAAAGGATATTCATGAGCGAGGCCTTAGGAGTAGTCGTATCCGCCCAATACTTCACTTAAAATAATATAATATTTAAATACTCCATTATACTAAGTATATAATAAAAAAAAAAAATTAGATATTTAGTTGACAAGTTCTCAAATTAGATGTTACATTAGAACTTATACTAATATTAAATTCTGGAAAAGAAAAAAAAACAAAAAAAAAAGTAACCAAAAACATTTTAAAACTGTCAAGTTATTACGATTGTATGATGCACGCACGAATTTTTAGTGAATGGATAAAAGAAGATGAAGAAGAAATGGCTGATATTTAAACAAAATTGCACCCTTTTAACTTTTATCATTAGATATTTGGTAGTAGTATCGTATACAACTGTTATATATATATATATATATTTTTTATTTAAAAAAAAAAAAAAAAAATGCATGTTATTTAAAAACAAATTACCTATCACAAATTGAATGAATGAAAGTATGTTATAAATGATCGCATTAAATTATTATTCATCATTGTTTATCGCATAATTGTATTCATCTAAAAAAACAAACAAACAAACAAAAAATATCCTCTCTCTCTCTCTCTCTCTCTCTTTCTCTGTAAATGATTATAATGCTATATGTTTATTTTGTTATGATAAAAACAATTTTTCCAATTATTTTTAGTAAACAATGTGAAACTTCATTTTTCAGTACTTCCTAAAAAAAAAAGAAGAAGATATTTTAGAAACAAAAGAAAAGAAAACAAAACAAAAGAAAGAAAGGGAAAGAGAAAGAGAACAATATTTCTAACAAATCAGATTGAATTATTTCAAATGTATAATATTTAATCCAAAATTATAAGCGATCAAAAAAACAAAAAAATATATATATATATAGGGGAGCCAGTTTTGTGCTACCCAAGCCTAAAAAAAAATCAAAGATAGATTTATTAATTTTAAAGCTGTATTTTATTATTTATTAATAAGAAAATTTGTAGACACACAATTTAGGGCGATATGCGATTGAACACTTGTTCTATCAATATTATTTATTCTTAAAATATATATATATATTGTGTATAAAAACATATAATGTATAATACATAATTTACCAATTATTATTATTATTAACTTAAATTCGCAATCGCACTAAATTTTGAAAAGTCGAATGAATTATCTTTTATCTTTGTACGCCAACAAGACATTTTTTTGTTTTGAACAAAAAATAAAACAAAAAAAAAACATTGAAGATATAAGAGTGACGACGAGTGACACCCATTCGATTCGAACGTTTCTTCTTATATCGATAAATTTCTAGAATTTATGATTAATTGATAAAAAAAAAAATGCAGTTGAATATATATATATATGTGTGTGTACAATATTCGAGGAGTAGTCGGCCTATTTAATGTACAAATGTGAAAGTACGGTCTTATCAACAAATAACCCTATATAGAATCTTTTTCATTTTTTTTTGTCTCTTACAGTATTTTTTTATGTAATTTTGTAACAGAGTCTTTATATTATTTTCTTATTTTTTTTTTTATATAATTTCATGTTATATAAGATGTTCTGTAAAAAGAAAAGAAAAAAAAAATAAACCAAAGAACGAGTACAAGTTAAACTGTATTATCTATTGTTCGGGAAACTTTAGATAAGGTTAGATAAATAGAAATAATAGATAAAATATTAAGATACCAGAATGAGAAGGAAAATTCAATAATTGTTAGACAAAAAAAGATGAAGACAAAAAATCATATATATATATATATATATTGACTATTTATGAGGCCATTATCCCGAACGCACGTGTACGCACATTATGCATGTAACAGTTAAATAAAACTGTATCAGCATGAGTAGGCGATATCGAAAATGTTACAACTGTATCTTTAATATAATTGTAGTATTATTATTATTATTATTATTATTATTATTATTATTATTATTATTATTATTATAATATATCCATTCACTCATAAATGGCAATAAAATGATTGTTATATTCTACGAAGCACTGCCACATTTTGAAGCATGTTCAAGTTGTTTTCGAAAATCTTACCAAATGATAATTAACAATTAATATCGTTATAACGATTTAATGATTTATGTGTGTGTGTATGTGTATATTACATCAATTTATGAAAACAAAAAAACAAACAAAAAAAAAATGAAACATATGCGATTGTTAATAATTAAAATGAACAAAGGGGAAAATGTTTTCTATTTGTCAGATATATTGCGTTTTCATTAATTACATTTGAAAATAATATTACATTAATGTTAAATAGAACTCAGTTTATTTTTTTTTTTGTTCTTCTTTTGTCGTTATAATGTAAAACGTGAAGTCAAGTGTTTCTAATTAACGTAAATTGATTACAATACTGTATTAGAATGTAGTCACAAATAATTTCACGTTTGATATTGTAAATGATATTTAATCTTCCATATATATATATATGAAATCTAAACATTATTTTCTAATAATATTCTGTATAAAATTTCAAATTCTTTCTACGATATCATCTGAAATATTCAAAATCTGTTACTTTTTCAAAGTCATTACGTAAAAAAAGAAAAAAGAAAAAAGAAAAACAACAATCTTAATAAGCGAACTCGCTGTACAATGTATCCGCCATCTTTTTTTCTTTTTTTTGTTTTTTTTTTTTTGAACTTTTGTCCTTCACATTATTTATTTGCAATTTTTCTTGAGATAATGTTGAGACACGTTTAATAATAAATACGTTCAATGTAAAATGATTAGAAATATAAATTGTAAACAAAACAATTGTTAATATTAAAGAAGATAGATACTTGCCAATTTATTAAAAAAAAAAAAAAAAAAAAGAGAAAATAAAAGAAATAACTGGTGAGATACATTGAACGGCATGGAAGTTCCTCTTATCGCACATTTGACTTGTTGGCGTACGTTGTTAGATTAAGTTTCTGAGTAAAACCTACCTCGTCTCTCTTGTTACGCCTACTATTATATTACTACTACCATTAAAATACTAATAATAATAATACTATTACTGACATTACACTACTACTTATTAACAACGCTGTTATTGTTGACGAGAACTCCATATTATTAAAGAATAAATAAATATATTGTCTGAAAGTATTATTCTTTCATTTCTTTACTACAGATATATATATATATATATATATATTATTATTATTATTGATGTAACACTACTTAAAATATAATAAAACAAAAGAGAACAAGCTTAATATATTATAATACAAATTAAATATAATTTAATTTTTTCTTCAAAGTATCGTAAAAATAATCAAAAAAAAAAATAGGTCAACGTGCTTCTAATGAAGACTAAACAAATGAACATCTAACGATTTTTTCAAATGCATCAGCATTGAAATTACAATGATTATAAAATAACAAATAAAAAGTACAAACGAGTTATTATGTATACGGATTTGACGTCGTGCAGCACGTTGATTTAAATGTTATCGATATAAACGGAAAGGTAATTTTGCAAGTCATCGTGAAGAGTCATCACAATGTCATTCTTGCCTCCTCATGGTCGACTTTTGACCACGCTTTAAGTTATTAAAATTGAAGTAAATGAATAATAGTAAAGAAATCATCATTTCGTCTCGTTAATTTAATTTAACAATAAAGCTTGTTAATAAAAACAAAAGAAAAACAAAATAAATATCTATATATATATATATATATATATATATATAATAATGTCGCTTATATATGTATAATACGCATACTCTTTAATAATTGATTAAAAATGATAATAACATGAAGACTTTTATTAATAATATTATAACAAAATAAGACAACAATGAAAAATAATGTATTTTTGTAATTTGTAAATAACAAAAGAATAAGTGACACGTGATTCGTAGTAAGAGAAAGTACGATTGCGCTGTAGTATTGCGCTTTTATATATACTCGCAATGTTATGAACAATGGCGGGAGTTATGAGTGCAAGTAAGTTAGTATGTGTAGCTTAACGATACTCATTGACGATGGTTACTTTTCAAAACTAATAATAAGAGAAAAATAAAGACGGATAGATAGAGAAAGAGAAAGAGAAAGAGAGAGAGAGAGAGAGAGAGAGATCTTTGATTTCTGACCATGACGAAGCGCGATCGCAAGAGATTGAAGAAATCCTTCGTTCCGCGCCGTAACACGTGCGCATGGAAATGATTCTACGTTTGAAGCGACAAAACGCGTTCAGTGACATCGCATCTATCGCGACTGATCGCAACGTCGTCTAATCCCTGCGTCATCGTGCATGACCATCGGATACAATCAGTCGTTTCTGCTATATCGAAATATGTTCGTTGTCTAATGATTATTCGTATGTCTATGATCATTTATTTTCATCTTATTAACGAGTATTATCGTTATTTACAAAAATTATTCATAAAATCATAAGACTTCCTGGTAAGTCTTTCCCTTATTAAGTACTCACGTCTATTACGTATTTAGGATTTTCTTTTTTTTCAGACAAATTAATCTTCGTTTTAACAAAACACAAATATTATTCATCGTGATTTAATATTTTACAATTAGCCAATGTTTACATTTTAATTTAATCAATAAAAACATTTGTCTTCTTGATGATTGAATGAAAAAAAAAAAAAATGAAAACGTTATATTATTCTGATCATATAGTTACATTAATTTGACTAATTTGTATCTTAATAATTCAAGCAATATTATTTCAATAATATTTATACAATTAATGTAGATATCACTTTTTTTTTGTTTTTTTTTTTTTACATTGTTATCATATTTTCATTTATTTATTTATTTCTTAAATTATGTTGCAAATTAATATTGCAATTTGACCGTAGATTATAACTTTTAATGGATGGAGAAAAATATTGTCAACAGAATAAAAAAACTCGTGGAAAGAAACATGGATTAAAATCAACGATGCAAACTGAAGGAAAAAGTTATTGTTATGGTTCTCCTAGTACATCTACACATACGGATAATGGAGATATAACATTTTATATGAATAATTATCTTAACGATGTTATGAAAATGATGTTTATGATGAGAAGTCATCATATGCTTACCGATGTCATACTTGAAGTAGGAACAGAATTGTTTCATGCTCATAAGGTTATTTTAGCTGCTGCCAGTCCATATTTTAAGGTAAGAATCTTTATAAATGTTTTTTTGTTTTTTTTTTTTTTCTATGCATATATAAATTGTATTAACTTTGTATGCTATAACTTTAATAGGCCATGTTTACTGGTGGATTAAAAGAAAGTGAAATGACAAGGATAAAACTTCAAGGAGTTTGTCCAACCGCCATGGCTCGCTTAATGTGTTTTATGTATACTGGTCAAATAAGTGTAACAGAAATAACTGTGTGTTCTTTATTATCCGCTGCTACGATGTTTCAAGTAAAGATAAATAATAATAATAATAATAATAATAATAATAATATTCTCTGAATCTATGAATATAATTGATTTAATAATATCATTTAATTATATATATATGTATATATATGTATGTATATATTATGTAGGTTAGTAATGTAATAGATGCATGTTCTCTATTTTTGGAAAAACAATTGGATCCTACAAATGCAATTGGAATTGCAAATTTTGCAGAACAGCATGGTTGTCAAAAGTTGTATCATAATGCAAATCAATTTATTGTACAACATTTTAATCGGATATGTCAAGAAGAAGAGTTCTTACAACTATCTGCCATGCAGTTAATATCATTGGTACGAAAAGATGAACTCAATGTTCAAGAAGAGAGAGAAGTTTATAATGCAGTTTTAAAATGGGTGAAATATAACGAAGAAGCAAGAGGTCCTAAGATGGAACATATATTACAAGCTGTACGCTGTCAATATCTAACGCCAAATTTTTTGCGTGATCAAATGAAAAATTGTGATGTTTTAAAGAAAGTGCCAGCATGTCGTGAATACCTTGCACAAATATTTAAAGACTTGACACTTCATAAAAAGCCAATAGTGAAAGAAAGAACACCTAATACACCAAGAGTCATTTATATAGCAGGTGGATTTTTACAACATTCTTTAGATGTTTTTGAAGGATATAATGCAGATGACAAAACATGGACTACTCATTCAACACTAATATTTCCACGTTCTGGATTAGGGGGTGCATTCCTAAAAGGCATGTTTTATGCTGTTGGTGGTAGGAATAACACGCCAGAAACTAGGTTAGTAATTTAATATAACAAATGAAACATATTTATAGATTTTTAATATGACAAGAATTAATGGTACATGAATGTCAAGAAGGTTTGGGTAAATTTTAGATATGATTGTGATTGGACAGATCGATACAATCCATTAACAGATCAATGGAGAACTTGTAGTCCAATGTCAGTTCCAAGAAATCGACTTGGTGTTGCTGTTATGGATGGATTATTGTATGCAGTAGGTGGTAGTGCTGGTGCAGAGTATCATAACAGTGTTGAATGTTACGATCCGGATCAAGATATGTGGACTAATGTAAAACCCATGCATATTAAGAGATTGGGTGTTGGTGTAGCTGTTGTTAATAGGTAATAATATCTTAAGTTATCTAATATTATAAAATTTGGAAAATGATTATAATCTTAATTTGTAATAAACAGACTACTTTATGCAATTGGTGGATTCGATGGAAAGAACAGACTTAATTCTGTAGAATGCTATCATCCTGAAAATGATGAATGGACAATGGTTTCATCTATGAAATGTAGTCGTTCAGGAGCAGGAGTTGCTAGTTTAGGTCAATATATATATGTCATAGGTGGATATGACGGATCGTGCCAATTAAAATCAGTTGAACGATATGATACAGAACGTGATGTATGGGATTATGTCAGTAGTGTATCTATTGCACGTAGTGCATTAAGTGTTACAGTTCTTGATGGAAAATTATATGCAATGGGTATGTGTTATTGTAATTATACTATTTTTCTTTTTTTGTATAAAACTTTTAATCAAGATTTTCTTACAAATATTTCTTTTTCAGGAGGTTACGATGGATCATCATTTTTAAAGATCGTTGAAATTTATGATCCTGTTAAAGATCAATGGGAACTGGGAGTTGATATGACATTTGGAAGGTCTGGTCATGCAAGTGCTGTGTCTTATCATTTATGTCCAATACATTGTGATTACTTAGATCATAATATAACTTTAAACGGAGGTCCATTATGATATAATTATATCATTTTAATGTTATATATATATATATTAATAAGTCAACAAGAAAAAATGAAATCATTCTTGAAAAGGATAATTATAAAAGATCAATACAAAAATTAGAACAAAATATTCAAGTATATAATTGATCAAAGGTAAAATGATAGAAGTACGACGAATACTTGCACACAACCAGACTGATATATGTATTTTTGGTAATAGCATTAAATTAATCTAGTTCCTAAGGTCTATAATAAGTAATAAAGGCCAAGATTTATACTGGAAGTTTAGATAATTTATAATATTTAATATTAAATATCATGTAAAAAAGCTTGCGACGTCCATTAAGATAGGTTCACTTGTAATATGTAAATCATTTTTATAATATAAATAATTATTTAACATATTGTACATATTAATGACATAAATACATCATTTTAGATTTGTATCGTTATATAATTTTTTTTTATTTACATTATTAGATAAAACTACTATTAAATTAAAGAATTTTTAGGAATTTCAATTAATAAAAGTATTGTGTGTTTAATTTAAATGAATTTAAATATAATCTAAAGTAAGATGTATTTTTTTCATTCATTTTTGTTTTTTATTTTGTCTGTAATATTATTAAATTGATTATTATAATAATATTAAAGTAAATAATATACAAAACAGTTCAAAAATATATTCAAATGCTAGATGTTAAAAATTAAAGATGTCCTAGTTTTAGTAAAGTAAACTACCGATAGATGGCTCAGTAGTCTGGTGTGTTGACATGGTAAATAGTATTAGTGATTATTACTGATAGACTTACATATGTTAAATGTTTGGTTAGTAGTGATTATGAAAAGAAAACAAGATATGTGGACAATAAAAGACAAATTCTATTTTATTCAATTGATAATAAATTATTATTTTAACTTTGTTTTGTAAAAAATAAATGTAACTAACTATCGTTGTTTTCTAATGATAGTGAGGTTATATATGAAATGTGTGTTAATTAAAATTAATACAGTAAAAAAGATTAATAAACGGAATAATATTATTAATACTATTAACAAAAATTTAAGATACTTATGTAGCATGGTTAAACAATTGTTAATTAATAAATATGAACAAAAGTAATTGTTTTATTAAAAATTTGAATTTTAAAATTAAACAAAATTAATTTACAATGAAGTCAATTTATAAATTATTTTTCTTGTGTTTAACACTTGCTATTTTGATAATATTATTGAATTTAAGTACAAATTTGAAAAATAAGATATACAATGAACATAATAAAGAAAAATTGTCATACACTTTACCTAAGAAAAAAATAAATATACATACAACCAGAGAAGTAACTATTTGTGTAGTAGTTTGTGGAGATAGATTAGATGAATCATTAACTATGCTTAAATCGGCATTAGTTTTTACAAATGCATCATTGCAATTTATAGTAATAACAGAAAATAATTTGATACCTGCATTTAATGAAAAATTATCAGAATGGAAACTTATTTCTAACAAAACATTTGACTTTGTAATCAAATCTGTAACATTCCCAGAAGGAAATGATCCAGGAATATGGAAAAAATTATTTAAACCTTGCGCTGCTCAACGATTATTTTTACCAGTTAGTATATCTTCGATATATATATATATACTTTATTACTTAATAACTTTTATATAATAATAATATATATATATTTCAGACTGTTTTAAACACCACAGATGCAGTTTTGTACATGGATACAGACACATTGTTTTTAGCACCACCAGAGAAAATCTGGGATGAATTTAAAAAGATGAATTCCAGTCAACTAGCTGCTTTAAGTCCAGAACACGAGGATCCAAATACTGGCTGGTATAATCGTTTTGCTAAACATCCATATTATGGAAAATTGGGAGTAAATTCTGGCGTTATGTTGATGAATTTAACAAGAATGAGAGAATTTAGATGGACCAATTATGTTGTTCCCATTCACAAGGAATATAAATTAAAAATAACATGGGGAGATCAAGATATTATAAATATAATATTTCATTATCATCCAGAAAAACTTTATGTTTATCCTTGTAGATTTAATTACAGACCTGATCATTGTATGTATATGTCAGTTTGTACAGAAGCAGAGAAACATGGTGCATTAGTGTTACATGGATCTCGAGGTATGTTTCATTCTCAGAAACAACCACCATTTAAAGCTATATATAGATCAATGCAAGAATATCAATTGAATACAGATCCATACGATTATTTACTTGTACCAATGAGAAATTATTTAACATTGGAAGATAAATCTAATTGTGGTAGAGTATGGAAAGCTTTTCTTATACAACCCGAATTACATTTAAACAAATATGATTAAAAAAAAATGATATAATGGAGTTTGTATATATATATAGGTACTCCATTTTATGTGAATCAGACTATAATTGAATTTTGAGAAATCCTTTTTTTTTTTTTAATAATATTCGAATATATAAGCAATATGTACGTAAGATAATAACATTAATATAATTAAGAATACAGATTGAAATGCTGTATTCTTGTGCCATCATTACTGATTTTTACATGGTTCTATGTGAGAAGTCAAAAATACAAAGAATTTTATCCTAGATAATAGATATTTGAGTGAGATATACACAAATAGTAATAGATATGAGGCATAAGCAATTATGCGTGACATGGTTTATATTTAAAACCGATATGTCTTCTATTAGCTTATAAAATAAGCAGACTGAATTCTATTGATATTTCTTTTTTTGTCATACTTTTTATTATTACACGTAATATAATCTATTTTAATTATATATATAATAATACTAGAAAGTAAATAGATTTGTATTTACTATTTGTCAACATTTATTGTTGATTACATAAATATTTGATTGAGTATATTAACCCTTTGAGTTATGTAAGAACGGAATAATTTATTACATTATTTTACATTAATACTAACAAACACGTATATACGTCGATTGATCATTCTAGTAATTTGTACTAAACGCATATATGCGTCTATAGCACTCTAAGGGTTAAATAACGTTGTTATTATATATACAATATATTTATACTTCTATATTACATCTACATTATTATATATAATATAGTTTTTGTCATTTGTAAATTAACTTATACACACACAAAAAAATAATAAATTTATTACACGTACATGTTATTTGATTACTATCGATTAATAATTTGTAAATGTTATACTCGAATTTTTGTTATCATTACTTCCATCTCTATATATACTTATGATAAAATAATGAGTGATAAGTAATATATCTATCTTTTGTTTAACTTGAAAATAGATAAAAAAAAAAAAAAATAGAATTATATTTTTCGTAAGGTATATTAGATATCTAAGAATGTGTTGTGCATGTATTCAAATGAAATATCTAATGTATGTTTGTATATAAAAACGATAATAATTATTAAGAGGGGAAACAGTAGCAAACGAGAGATTACAAGAGTGAGAAAGTACTCGTGAACTAAAGAGAGAGAGAGAGAGAGAGAGAGAGAGAGAGAGATAGAGAGAGATGAAAATAATTCAGGTAGTGTGGTTTGTAGTAAAAGAAGGGGAAACATGAACGATAAGGTACGGAAAGTGACGAACAAAAACTTTCCTCTCAATAGTACAGCAAACTTATGCGATTGCATGTCTGAACGGTATACTGAATGGTACCTGTGATATTTTCGCGTAGTGTTCGCGCCATCATCTTGCATACGTTCTCCATCTTCTTTCATTTGAGATATCATTCGATGTAAAAGACTCAAAGTAATTTTATTCTTTTGTTGTTGTTTTTAGCAAATAATTTATATTTCTTGTTGAAGATTAAAAAAAACATAACATAACAAAACAAAAGAAAAATAGTAAGTATATTAAGAAATAATATATTGTTTTATCATTAACATAATTCATTCTCAAACGATCGAATTAGTATTACGAATATTTTAGATGACGTGTCATACTTGTACGCAAATATTATTATTGTTTTTAATTGAAAACAAATGGGACTCATCTCGAGAGATTTCATTGTAATTTTATTAACGATTAATTAAACGTATTAATCAATTCTTCTAATGTTAAAAATAAAAGGAGTAAACGAAATATAGAAGATAATTTTGTATATTTTACAAATTAAAATGTAACATATTTCAGATAAGCGATAACAAAGATAAAAGAGAGTTCGCCATTTAAAACAATATATTAAACCAATTGTTTTTATCTCCTTGATATGATATGATTCTATTTCATCGTATTGATTTATCTATCATTTATTTTCATATTACTTTGAATATAGTAAATAAATATTAAAATATTTAGAAATATAATTCGATCGATATTTGATTTTAAAAAAATCAATCAATCAATCAATCAATTATTTTATTGATACTTTTTTTTATATCATTTAGAATTGAGTATGCCGCTTTTCAAAGTGCGTTCACCGTCAACAAGATCACCAATGAGTGAAAAAAAAATTAACGGTACGCATCAGCATCAGCATCAGCATCAGCGTCAGCGTAATCAGCAAAGTGGTGATAACGATCATGAAGAAATCGCTACCAATGTAACGAATAATAAAGAAGGAGGAAATATGTCTAATCAATCGCAAGAACATCGTTCCCAACGAGTTTCTCAATCTTCATTGGTTTTTCATTGTCAATTGGCACATGGTAGTCCCACGGGCCTTATATCTGGATTCAGTAATGTCAGAGAACTTTATCAAAAAATAGCCGAATGTTATGAAATTCCAGTGGAAGAAGTGAGTTGATATATATATATATATATATATATTTTTTTAAATTTATTTTATACAGAAAAAAAAAACAAAACAAAAAACAATGTACAATGCGCATACTCCTTCCATTTTTTTTTGTTTTTTTTTTTTTTTCGAATTCCATATTGTCTCCTCGTGTAATACAAAACGTACGGAGAATTTGAACAGACTTACATAAAATGGAAAGCGAGTAAATGGATAGGGGGATGCATACCGGATGCAGGAAACGTTGTTCACGGACCGTGACATACCTCGACATGACGAACGTTGTCCCCCTTCTAAAACTATAAGCATGCTGTATTGAAAGTCGAGTAGAGAACTTTTAACTTTCTGATCATTTAAAATGACCCGCGCGTTCCATACCACATTCCAGTTTTATATTACCAATATATATATATATATGTATATGAATAATTACCAATACTATATTTATACATTTTTCTTTTTCAGATTCTATTTTGTACTTTGAACACTCATAAAGTGGAAATGTCTGAATTATTGGGAAGTCAAATTGGCGTTGGTGATTTCATATTCGCACACAGAAAAGGTTTATATCGACCTTACGAAATTTCGAATGTAAGATATAATATATATGTGAAAAAAAAGATAATGTTTTCAATTTTGTATCATCAATTTTTCTTAGGTAGACCCAAAGAGATAGAATTAATGAAAACTGATGATGCATTGGGACTTACTATTACCGATAACGGTGCCGGATATGCTTTTATAAAACGTATAAAAGAAGGATCTGTGATAGATAAAATAAAAGTCATAGAAGTTGGGGATCATATTGAAAAAATTGATTCAATGAGTTTAATCGGAAAACGACATTTTGACGTAGCCAAAATTTTAAAAGATATACCTAAAGGAACGACGTTTACATTAAGGTTAATAGAACCACAAAAAAATGGCTTTGGAAGTATTGGACCACGAGGGGATTTGAAAAAAGGAAAAAAATCTGGTTATGGTACTGGTAAAGAAACATTAAGGTTCAAAGCAGATGGAAGCGCACAAATTGTAGAATATGTGGTAAGTATTATTTTTACAATAAGATTATTTTCTGATAGATAATCAACTTCTTTTATATAATCAATATCTATTTATAATCTTTGTTATCAGATAGATGACGTTGCCAAGATTGCAGTAGGAAAAATTAATACGATATTGGAGAACTTTATGGGAATTTACGATACTGAATTAGGTATAAATACATGATAACACATTTAATATATATATATATATACCTAATTCTCAATTTATATAAAAAATTGGTTCTTCAGAATATCGTGTAAATCGAGAACAAACCAAAATGTTACACTAGATTAATTGCTATAAATTATTTTTATTACAGCTACGCAAATTTGGGAACTTGCCGATGGTAAATTCAACAGCATTGATTTTGCCGAAGCGATAGATAATTCCGATTTGGAAGCTTTCGGATTTACAGATGATTTTGTCATCGAATTGTGGGGTGCGATTACCGATGCTAGAGCTGGACGACATCGATGATAAAATATAATTTTACAAAAAGTACTTCTAAGATAAAGATTTCGAAAAATTAGTACGAGGAATATATTTTAATATAGGAGATATATTTTTGTATAAAATATTGATTATTTGTATTGCGTAAATTAATTAAGCTGTACAGAGACCTGTATTATATTCCATATGTCGCATAATGTACCTTATTATTACCTTCATTCCCATGTAAACAATACCTGTCAATGAATATTATGCATGCGCGAGTGTTACGCGCATGTGCAAGTGCCACGCGCATGTGCAGGTGCCACGCGCATGTGCAGATGCCACGCGCATGCGCAGATGTTATGCGCATGCGCAGATGCCACACGCATGCGCAGATGTCACGCGCATGCGCAAATACCACGCGCATGCGCAAATACCATGCGCATGCATTGATGCCACGCGAATACGCTTCAGTCACGCGCATGCGGTACAGTGGTTAGGTACGTAGTATTATCGGGAAAAAATGTTATTTGTGGTTATGAATATTTATCAAATTTAATACTTTCAAAAGCTGTTTCCTAACTTTATCAAATGTTGCAACAATCTTGTTTGTTTTTTTCGTAATGTGATAAAAACATTTTATCTATTAATTCCATGACATTTTGTGTCGTCATATGTTGTTCAGTGTAATTAAAGAATATTATTTATTCATTGGAATAGTGATATTAAAAAATAAGAATATATAAGTGTGATGAGAAAAGTTTGTGTGCTTGCAGAAAGTGAACGAATTAACATTACTTCTATATTACAACATTAAAATAAAAAATATGGCTTTTGCAATAAGTAAAGTTACTCCTACATTTATAAGATTTAATTCACGTTCCTGTAACTTATATAAAAATTGTAAAATTACAAAGGTACGTAACGCAAATATTGCATTGTCATTGGAGATATACAAAAATAATATGCAGTTATAAAAGTTATTAATATACTAATTTTATTTTATAGATATGTGCGTTTAACTTTTCCATTAAAACTGATATTCCCTTAGAGGAAGAAGAAATTCCAAAATTAACACCACCTGTAGGAAAAGGAAAAGTTTTTAATAGCGTAGATGAAGTTGTATCTGACATACATGATGGTGCAAAACTTCTGGTTGGTGGTTTTGGACTTTGTGGAATACCGGAGAATCTTATATCTGCTTTATTAAAAAGAGGTACAAAACAATTAACAGTAGTTTCAAATAATGCTGGAACGGAAAATGCTGGATTAGGTAAATTATTAAAAGAGCAAAGAATTAAAAGAATGATAGCTTCATACATTGGTGAAAATTCTGAATTAGAAAAACAATATTTAAGTGGACAATTAGAAGTTGAATTGACACCTCAGGTAATCAGAATTTTATTATACAAACATTTATAAATATTTCATTCATTATTAATCTAATCGTTGATAATTTTTTTTTTTTTTCAAGGGTACATTAGCAGAACGTGTACGAGCAGGTGGTGCTGGTATTCCTGCATTTTATACACCTACTGCTTTTGGAACTATAATACAAGAAGGAAGTGTTGTCATTAAATATAATAAAGATGGAAATGTTGAGATCTCAGGAGAACCAAGAAATACTAATATGTTTGATGGAAGAAATTATGTTTTAGAAACTGCTATTAAAGGAGATTTTGCTCTTGTGAAAGCATGGAAAGCAGATCCAGCTGGAAATTTAATTTTTCGAAAATCAGCAAGAAATTTTAATCCTGTTATGTGTAAAGCTGCTAAAATAGCAATAGCAGAGGTAGAAGAAATTGTAGATATTGGTCAATTAGATCCTGATCAGATTCATTTACCTGGAATTTTTGTTGATAGAGTTGTCAAAGGTCCAAGTTATGAAAAACTTATTGAAGTAAGAAACATTTGTATATATATATATTTTAATATTTAAAGTTATTTTCTTTATCAATAATAAATGATTTTACTTGACAGAGACGTTCAACTAAACAAAGTACTAAACCCAAGAAAGTAACACCAGCAAGTAAAGCGAGAGAAAGAATTATACGACGTGCTGCTATTGAATTTAAGGATGGAATGTATGGTAAGATTTTGTATTTTTTTTTTTTGCTTAGAAAGATTATAAAGAGAAAACACATGTTATAAAAAGAAAATGATTTACAGCTAATCTGGGTATTGGTATTCCAATGCTTGCAAGTAACTACATCCCTAAAGGTGTAAAAGTAACATTACAATCAGAAAATGGGATTCTTGGTCTTGGACCTTTTCCTGATGAACAGGAAGTCGATGCTGATCTCATAAATGCTGGAAAAGAAACAGTAACTGTATTACCTGGAGCTTCATTTTTCAGTAGCGATGATAGTTTTGCTATGATTCGCGGGTACATAAATTATTTCAATTAACACAATATTATAATTCATACATTTGATTTTATTTTGATGATTTATTAATTATAGAGGTCACATAAATTTGACAATACTTGGTGCAATGCAAGTATCTGAAAATGGAGATTTAGCAAATTGGATGATACCAGGAACAGTGGTTAAAGGAATGGGTGGTGCTATGGATCTTGTTTCTTCTACAAATACAAAAGTTGTTGTAACTATGGAACACAAATCACGTGATGGTAGACCTAAAATTGTTGACAATTGTACTTTACCTTTAACAGGTAATGCCATTACATTTTATTCTGTTTTTCTTTTCTTTTTTTTATATACTCGTACATTTTTAGATACGATAAAACAAAAATAACATTTTTTTTTTATAATTATAGGTCAACGGTGTGTCGATTTAATTATCACTGATTTGGGTGTTTTTGAAGTTATTCAAGGAGAAGGCTTAAAGTTAATTGAAATTGCTGCTAATGTAGATATAAGTGAGATAGTTAGTTCAACTGGCTGTGAATTTTCTGTGGCTGATGATCTTAAAGAGATGCAACAAGTAGAAATAGATGAGCAATAAATATAAGAAATTATTTTGCATAAATGTTTTACATGATTTTCATATATATATATATATATATATAAATTATAAAGCATAATTGTAATTATGTATATTGAAGATTGAAAAAATGATTTTGTACAGTATGATGAAATGAAATAAGGTAACTTATTAATTATACATATAACAATGTTTGTTATCATTTTGTAATTATGTAATTCTCTTATATACGTATATGTGAGATTACATACACTTTATAAATAATTCATATAACTAAAAACAATACTATTAATTTAGAAGCTATTAAAAATTGTTTTTATTTTGCATAAAGTATAAAAAAAATGTATAACATATCGATATTTTACAAGCTTTTATAAGAATAATAAAAATACGTCATTTATTTATAATATTACTAAGGGGTGTCCCGCTACGTGTTGCTGTGGCTCACAATCAGTCCCAATACACATGTCTTTAAGTCAACGAATTACCTTATACCGCCATCTGTTAGAATCTTATCGAACTAACAGAGATAATCATGACTCTTTGTTAATAAATAAAATAATATTGCGATTATAAATTGAGATATAAACTATCCTATATTTCAAGTTGAATGAAATTGCACACATTGTGGAAAATTTGATTAAAATCGGTTCAGTAGTTTAGGAATTCATTGTGGACAAACAATGTGACACGTAATTTATATATATATATATTAAGATTATATATTTATCCATATAATAATACAAGGGATCAATCATTTATCTAATTTTGTATTGTTACATAAATATGTTATACTATTTTATTCTCTGAATTTGGCTTTAACTCTGGCAGGTAATGGTAATAAATAAAGAATACTATTTAAAATAATTAATCCAACGGCAAATGCTAATGATATTAATAAATTTAATTCTATGTTTAATACTTCAGATATGTTTTCACCTTCGCGAGTAAAACGTTCTATTAAATAAGTTCGTCCATCTGGATATCTACATAATTCAGGTATACCTGGACAAGTAACTGTTTCATTATATGACAAATTGGAAAATATTGTTTTATCCATGGCTAATTGATTTAATGCTAATGAAGCATATCTTGCAGGTAGAGCACTGGAAATGGTTGCTAACCAATAAGGTAAATTTCGAAGACTTCGGATTGCTCCAGATCCAATACCAAGAGACAATAATGCAACATACAACACTGTTATTGCACCAGTTAAAGGATTCTCAAGTATCATCAATAAAGCTACAGTTACTTGTTCAGCAGCAATGTAATTTGACCAAAGTATGGCAGAAGTATGAGCCCAAGCTGAATGATCTAATTCTAGGATTGGTATTAGGATACCAATTGTGATTATAGTCGATATAAAACTTAAAGGTAAACTTAACAATGTGTATGCAGTCAAAAACATGGCTCCACCATAAAGGCCCTCCCTCTTTTCTTGATAATACCTTGCACGAAAACCTGGAACTAAATGAGAAACTTATATATAAATGATAATATTCTAAATATATGTTTAGAAATTTGATATTCATAAAAACATACAAAGTAACGATGTCGTTGCTATTCCAGTTACATAAAACAGTGTTAATATATTAAAAACCAATCCTCCCGTTTGTAAAAATATTCTAGATTGTACAGGAGTTGAATGTGAATATAATATACTCATTAAAGCTACACTGAATGGTAATAATAAAAAACGTGCAGCAAAGTGTCCCAAACCACACTTATTAAAAGAAAATGTGACTGCCATACTTCTTCTAAAAAATATTATCCATTAATTATTATCCTATGAAATATATATTTTATATTAAACATTAAATCTAATTAAATAAAACAATTGCAAAAAATATTCTTACAAGTACAGTGCTAAAAGTGTTGAAAAACATCCTGGCTTAATACCACGACCCAAACCTTTATGCACAATTCCAAGTGGTGTTTCTTTTAAATTAGGTGATATTTGTGGTGCCTCTTTCATATATAAAAGACCTTCAACTTTAAATTTGTCAACTAATACAGAAATCTGTTGATTAGATTCTAAAAAACGATCTCTTGAACGTCGATCAACAGTTGAAAGACATACTAAAACCAAGTTTTAATTATAACATAATAATATATTAATATCATTTGTCTTATCAAACTAATAAATCAAACTTACGATAATACATTAATGGATTTTCTAATTCTGGACATGGAAATCCAATATAAGTAAAATAATCTAACATGCTTCTTGTTGGTCCAGAATAAACAACAGCACCTAAACATAATAATGTAACACGACTGACAAATGGTAATACATCAGACCTAGGTGTTTCCATAGTCAAAACGACAATAGATCCTCTCCTGGTTGCATAAGACCATAACATTGATACAATTAAATATGTATTTAATGGATCTGTATCCCAAGTTGGTTCATCTAAGAGAAGTAGCATTGGATCTTTAGCAAGTTGTACACCTAACATGAGTCTTCGATATTCTGGTCTTGTAAGATCATTCACACATCTATTGGATACTTGAGATAATGCTAAATCAGCTAATGCCTGTCTGACTCTAGCTTCCCGATTGTTTAAATTTGCTAACCACATAGCATAAGTAAGTGTCTGACGAACAGTTAAACTTGGTAATAAATGGCATCTATGGGCAACATATCCACCATGTCTTCGGAATAATTCCGGTGTTAATAAATTACCATTTAATGTTATTCTGCCTCGTACTTCTCCTTCTGCTCTTCCAGCTTTAATAAATATTAATATTTATTAACAAATGTATATAATTTATATTCTAGATTAAGTAGATACACACCTATCACATCCAAAAGAGCTCTTTTTCCAGATCCTTTAGAACCTAATATAGCTAAAACTTCACCACCATGAACTCGTGCAGATACATCTCTTAAAACCGACGTAGGCTCGGATTTGCTTAAACAACTTTTTTCAATGATTACGTTGGTCGAGTGAAAAACATTAGAAATATCCAAGATACAATCGGATGGAGTCATCTTGAATGTTATTTAATTAAACCGTAATAATATTAATGAAATCATTTCAGAACAATTTACAGTCAGTCGGTATGTTTTTTTTTATATTGAGCCTGTAAAAATATTATTCATTAGAAATCTTAAGAAATGTGTAAATAAGTCCGTCCGTCCTTCCGTCCCTCCCCCACCCCTCAAAAAACAAATAATACTACGTGTATAAGGATTTAATCGTATTGTTTTGAATAAATAATGAAATAAATCTCTAACAATAAATTTACATACCAATCATAGAAAAAAAAAAAAAAAAGGTATTTGTAATTCGTAATAGCGTTACACGTCGAACAACGACTGTTCTTCAAAGCAATCAGAAAGGATACCTCTCCGGGAGTTGGCTTCTTGAGGTGAATGTCTTCTCTTGGTATGAGTTTGATGGTGGGAGAGACTGGTGGGTAAGGACACATTATCGTAGTTAGAAAATTGTAGTCCCCGAAAAATGAAAGTAATGTAATGAAATTTTATCAAGTAACAATATTTTCTATTTAATTATAATAAAATGATAATATATACAAAGTATATTTGAAAATGTAATCGTTGATTTAATAATACAAATTGATGGTAGATGATTTAAACGAATAAATAGTTATGTTTTCAAAGTGAATTCGAAGAGACGTCCCTGTAATAAAGTCGAGGTCCCTCGGTGCTATGTTGGGGTGGGCAGGAAGGAGATACGGGGCCCGTAGAGGTTCATAAGGTACGCTTGACAGAAGAGTGCTAGCAAAATACTCAACGTGAGACGAGCTTATTCCGTATATTAGATATTTATTATTTTTTTTGTAAAAAGAATAAACAAAACAATGGTTTTACAATGAACATCCAACGATCAATGAGAGTTCCTACTGTTAAATAAAACTAATAAATATCATTAGACTTTAGTGTAATTTGACTTTTTATTATTGAATAGTGGATGCTGCTTGTAACTGAAGGCTGAAAGAATAAACCTAAAAAAAAAAAAAAAGAAAAAGAAGAAGAAGTGCAGATAGGTAGACAGAACAGCAGAGATGCGACAACGTCCTCGAGACTACTCGAGGTGGCTAGGTTGAAGGCCCGTTTTGAATGTCGCCGGTGAGTCATTGTCATGAATATAATGTTACTACGTTTAAAACTATTATAAATTTGGATTATTGTTGTTAAATACAAATTTGTATTGACATAATTTATAAATATTCATCGATATTGTTTTCATTTGAATTGGATTCAAAATGATTGATTTATCTTCAATATATATTTAATATTTCATCAAATTATTATTAAAACATTGTTGTATTCTCATAAATCACATTGGTTAGGTTCTAAGCATGTATACATTTTATTTTACGTAATTGAAAAAGTAGGAACAATGATCGATGGATGGATCTCACACAATGATTATTATTTTCTAATTGATTATGTCAATCAACTTTATTAATAACATGGATTCTACAATATCGACAGTATTTATTATTAATATATATATATATTTTTGTTATTAATTACAACATTTATTATTTATTAGACTAATACATTTTTTTTTGAGATAATATTTTTCAAATTGTAACGATCGATGATTCATAGAAACGTCAAGTCACAATTTGGGAGATTTCAATGCCGATTGTATAGTTGTTACTCGAAAGTTTACGTTTAATACGAAATGAACTTTGTATATATTTTTAGTTACTTTTACAGTTATCTGTTTCTTTGTTTCATTAAATACAATAGCTTTGCGACATACTGTAACAAAGTATTGTAAGTATTTCGTTGTAATGATAGCTTTAAACGTTCCGTTATATTCACTTGATCGATGTTTTCTAAGAAATTGAACAATAAAAAAGGGGTTTTTTTTCAGAAAATCCGTCTCTCATTGAAGACAATAATTCGTATCATTTTACTTGTTGTATCTGACAAAATTTGATATTATTAACAACTTTCCTTCTACTATCTGTGCATGAGATTTATGAAAAATATATAAACCGTAAGTGAAAACAGATAATGTAAGACTGGTTATGAGAGTGTTTTTAAAAAAAAAAAAAAGAATTGCCGTTACGCAAATGAAGGAAAAAGAAAGAAAGAAAGAAAGAAAGAAGGAAAGAAAAAAAGACAACATTCCAGTCATCAAGTTCCTGCTGTTCCAGCAGTTATTAACAATTCCAAGCTCGATCAAGCGTCCTTCGACATACTGAGAACTGTTCGTGCAATGAACAACGTAATGAATAGAATGTTGATCGTTTTCAATATAACACGCGATGATTTATTTTCAAACCACATATAACACAATCATATATATGAGTATAAAAAACAACAAACATATCTAATATATATATATATATAAATTACGTGTCACGTTGTTTGTCCGCAATGGACTCTTAAACTACTGAACCGATTTTAATCAAATTTTGCACAATGTGTGCAATTTCATTCAACTTGAAATATAGGATAGTTTATATCTCCATTTATAATCGCAATATTATTTTATTTATTAACAAAGTGTCATGATTATCTTTGTTAGTTCGATAAGATTCTAACAGATGGCTGTATAAGGTAATTCGTTGACTTAAAGACATGTGTATTGGGACTGATTGTCAACTATAGCAACGCATGGATGGCGGGGCACCCCTATAAAATATAATTTACAGTTACGATGCATTTGTTTATTTATCAATTAATTTCATATTTTATTAGAAATTATACAAGATATTTGTAGTTATAATTAAAGAATGAACTATCCGTTAGTGATAATCTCGCGGTTATATGCATTTAATGGTATACCAAGATAGAAATCACATATAATGTGTGTGTGTGTGTGTGTGTGTGATGAGACTTGCGGCATGAAAAATGTTTAATATCAGACGTCAACGGCAATGGCAATGAAACAGATGCCACACGGGTTCTTTCAAGCTTCAGTTATATACCTGTATTATACATGCACACGTGTCTATGCATACAACCGTTAAACGAGATGCTGTGATTCTTTTCTCTCTTTTACACATGACACCTTCCTACTTCTTCTTCTTCTTCTTATGTAATATAAATAAACTGCATACGTGTAAACGTCATTATCGGATATCGTATTCCGGTAATTACCATACAATATATAGGCCGTTTAAAGTGAACATAAATGATTAGAGAATATCATTATTGAAAATGAAATAAAATAAAGATCAACATTTTATATTGAAATGTGTATGATAGATTGTAAATTGTATGCATTTATCATTGAATATGTTCAATTGATTTTATTTTGAATTAAAATTATTATTACAGAATGTAATTGATTGACAAATCTTCTTCTGACAACGATTCTTAAGGAAGATGAGTTCTTCAGAAGCTTGGGAATTGGAAAGACGGTACTCGGTACCAGGAGCTTTAGATACCAGAGGACTTGAACCACCAGCCAGTGAAGATTTACATGCATGGTCTATATACAGGTAAATAATCTATCGAAAAGAATTTTGTCAATAAATAAAATTGTTATCTTCTTTTTGTTCTAGGCAAAATCTGAATTCTGATTTTACGGATTCGGCGTTGGGTTCAGCTGAAAAATCACCGTTGCCGTACGGTAACTTTCAACTTCGAGATTCAACCGTACAAAGTATACTAAGACATCCGAGATATGGTCCAAAGAGTCCACTTGCCAATAATTCGTATACATATTTAAAATTTGGCCTACCACGTGTATTACCACCAACTTCGCGCAATCGTGATGGTTCCAGTGGTTATGATTCTAGCGAGGAAGGTCGTCGTATGTCTCAAATTGGTGCAGCATCTGCACCAGGTACTTCGGCAATGCGTTCTGCTAGAAGTGATCCAGATTTTAGACACGTGCATGCTTTACCTAGGGAACAAGCACACTCTCAACTTACGGTAAGCAGGGATAATGCACGGTTCAGAAGTGTCAGTGAAGCTAATTTACTTCATAATGCTGTTACGACTAATCGACGACACAGTATTGCACCAATCGATCCCGGTTATTCAGGACCTAGTAAGAAATGAATAATCTTGACATTTGAATATATTTGAAAATATTGATTAATCTTATAATTTATTGTCACGAATAGGTCACAATGTTTTAAGACCCGAAGATTATGCAATGTCATTGAGATCTGTACCTTGCATTCAGCATCCACACTTACAACTTCGTGGTGTAGAAACTACAGGTTCTAATGGTTTACCATTACTTCGTGGTATTAGTTTGGAAGTTGGAGCAACTGAAGTATTGGCTATTATGGCAACTACTGAAAAAGAAGGGACACAAATTATAGAAACAATTGCTGGCAAAAAAGCTATCAGGAAAGGTGATATTCTTTTGAACGGCCGATCTGTATCAGCTCGTATTTTGAGGTATGACCTCGTTCATTAAGAAAAAAAGGTCATTCTTCTCTTGAACAGTTTCATTGAATTATTCAATTAAATATATTTTATTATTAATCTAGATCTCGTGTTGCATATTTACCAACGGAATGTGGATTGACTCCGGGTTTGACGACACAACAAACTTTACATTTTTATATGCTATTAAAAGGTGGTGTTAATATTACGTCATTAGAAACTGAAGCAATATTATTGGAACTTGGATTAGAAGCAACGAAACATTGTCTAGTTAATACTTTGACGACGTCCGAGGCACGAAGATTAGCTTTAGCTTGTCGTCTTTTGCAAGATTCTTATATTCTTACATTAGACAGACCTACACATGGCTTAGACATTTTTGATGCTTTCTTCTTGGTTGAATACTTAAGACAATGGGCTGGAAGAGAACACAGAGTTGTTATTCTAACATTACATCCACCAACTTATGAAATATTAACAATGGTATCCAGAGTCACTCTCACTTCGGGTGGTAGAATTATGTATTCTGGACTTAGAAGAGATATGTTGCCATATTTTGCACTTGCTGAATTTCCCTGTCCGTCATTTAAAAATCCGTCAGATTATTATCGTACGTATGAACAATGTTAAATGATAAATAGTAAATTAGTGATGATTAAATCATACATTTTCATTTATTTCAGTTGATCTGGTAACTTTGGACGATTTATCAGCAGAAGCAATGTTAGAATCTTCACAAAGAATAGATCATTTAGCAGAATTAGCTAGAACTAGATTACCAGCTTTAAGCGATCCTGGACCACCTTGTCCACTACCACCAGCTATTTCTAATGCTAATATATTTTTACATATTTATGCTCTGTTACTGAGGATTCTTATCTACAGTCAACCATTAACAATGACAAAAATGCTTCAGAAAATAGTTATCTCAGCATCTCTCAGTATTTTACTTGGTGCAATATTTTGGAACGTTGCTAGAGATTCTAATTTATATCTGAGAGATAGAATAGGCTTTCATTATGCCAGTTTAGGTATTTTTTCTTGGCCTCTTAGTATTTTAGCTATGCGTGAAGTTGCTAATTGTAGACCAAATGTTGAAAGGGATATCAGAGATGGACTCTATGGAAGATTTGTTTATATCTTTATAGAGGTAAAATTTACTTGTTGAAAATGTTCTTTATTCGTTTCAATCATAAATACAGATAATTCAATTGAATATTATCTTTAATTTTAGCTATGCTTTGGTTTGCCAATTTGGTGTTTGGTATATTTAGTATACTTAGCACCAGCATTTGCAATGTGTGGATTACATCTTGTACCTGACGAAAATTTAACATCATTGTGGAATTATCTTGCTATTGGTTTGTTATATCTGATGTTACAACACTTGATATGCATATTTTTTGCTCATATATGCAGATGGACATATCTTGCAGCATTATGTTCTGGTATTATTATTGGAGAATTAAGTTTGGCTGCTGGAGTAACATTACATTTAGACAATTTACCATTGTGGTATCGACAAATTAGTCCAATGCGATGGGCATTATCTTTATTACTTCCCCCTCTTCATGGACCAGAAAGTATGAGCAAATTAACTAACTGTAAACCTAAACAAGTTCAACGTCAAGATATCATTTTTCAAACAACGTGTGAGCCATCGGATGGAAATTTGGCGTTACTTGAAATTGCATTAGATAAATTTGATCTACAAATAGAATTATGGATGGGTGTTGGAGTTATTATACTTGTTATACTTATTATGTTAGCATTTTTAAGTATTAAGTATAATACTTTGAAACGACCTCGAAGTGCACCGAATAAACCTTAAGAGATGTTAATCGTGTGGTTAGATGATTTATTTATTGTCATCTACCTCGATGTAATATCTCAAAAAAAAAATGGCAGATTTTAACAGAAAGGATCAGTGAACTTAAATAAGATTGAAATGTAACGAGACACAAGAAGCTTGCTACAATTGTAATTATGATCAAAAATTTGGTCAAAAATGAATACGCTTAATGATCTATAATTTTAAGTTTTTTAATCACATTAATGATAATAAATGTTTGAATTGTTTTTTTCTTTTTTTTTTTTTTTTTATGAAATAATAAGAAAATTTTGTAATGTATGTATAATCAAAATTATCTAGTGAATAATAATAATAATAATAAAATGTCACTGCATAAATTACATGGTAGATAATTTAAATAAGATCTTCAAATATGTTTTATTTGAAAAAAAAAAAAATAAATAAATAAACGATTGATATTATAAAAGTAAAAACACATTATAAGATAAAACAAAAATTTAATCATATTACCATCGAGTAAACGATGTAAATAATTTCATTTACCTGTCGGTAATCTTCTTAAGGGGACCTTCTACTCTGAGCACCTAAAAAAAAGGCTATTTTCGCGAATTTTTTTCCAAGAAAACTATAAAAGATATCGATCTAAAAGTTGTTGGGTTTGTTAAATTGAATCTTAAACTATATAAATGAATGTTTATTTTTTCTTTTGAATTTTCTTCTTTTGTATAAGAGCTTTTCTTGCCTCATTAGCGCGCTTGAAAATACGTTTTGCTACATGCAAAATACACTCCAACTTTTTCACAATGAAATCTTCACCGTATGGATGACAGTCAAGCAGCATTTTAAAAGTCTTGGTGTCTCCGTCGCCGATATAAGAACCATACCGCACAGCAAATTTCTCAATTGACCTTTAAAACATTTCAACCACGCCGTCAACCTCCATTTTGCCCGAACTACCTGCATGATTTGCTGTACAATGTGGTTTATGCTCCTCAAACCAGGCGAGGTATTTAGCTGTATTTTCTTGACCTTTTCTCCTCGCACACTCGTTACAATAACTCGATCGAATTGTAACATCGCAAATTTTTCCAGTGAACTTGAGAATGAGAGAAACTATTCCTATTAAAGAAGAAAATCCTCTTTTTGACCAAGAGCCATCACCAGAAACAGTAAGAATGTCCTCGGGAAGTCCTTTTTTCTGGTGAATTACTTTTTCTTCCTTTACAGCTTTTTTCGTCACTAAATCAAAAGCGGCATTTACAGCTATGGTCATGGAATTCACGATTCTATAATAAGCATTAATGTGTATTGATCATCGGCCCATTACAAATATTTAGTATCGGCCCATTACAAATATTTAGTATCGG